AGTGGGATTTAAACTATTTATATCTCTAATTCATTAGCCAGGCTTTCGGGCCAGGCCTAGACACACACACATACACTAACACTCACCACACACAAGTCCAATCCAATCTATCCAGGCAGCCGCCAGTCGCTTTGCGTGCCGTTTCATTTAATTTTTTCATTACCTGACCCCGCCGGCTAGAACCGAGAAACTTGGCACGCCACGGGCTTGGCTCCCAGGGGGAAATTCAGAGGAAAAGCAGAGCCGGAAAACTCGACGCGATACATGAATTCACGATACAATTAATGGCCGTCAGGAGGGCCCCATTTGATTTGTATTTATATTAAGCAGGCGGCGCACGAAACAGATTTCCGCCAGGGAGTCAGAATGGCCAAATGAAATTGAACAAATATTTATAACCCAATCCGGTCCGCCAGTCCGCCTGCTGTCTGTCACTCACATGGAAGTGGCCATGGCATTGGCAGTGGCAGGAAAAGTCACGCCAGGATGGCTACCGGGGTAAACTGCTGTAATTGAAAGCGACTTCCTTGCGAGCGCTTTCTCCTCAAGGGCATCGCCACCGCATCCTGGCGGCGCCAGTTTATTGAAATGGGTCTGCGGCAGGGCGATTATCTGATTGCTGGCGCGGCACTACCTCGCATCTACACAGGGACAAAAACTATATATTGAAGGGTGAGGGAAAAGATATTAATTGATGCCAATTTGGTTGTGATTTCTGTTTGCTTTTATTATTATTACAGAGCTCTTAAAATGGGCTCAGCAGTTTTCATGAAAAATATATGGACCAGTCTTCTGACTAGATTTCTGATTCTTAATAGCCGAATCCTGACAATTTAAGACCTTCTGCGAATTGCTTGAATAGCAGACTAAATACAGGATATTTTTATGTTAGACATGTAGGCTTTCTTTTGCTATTTATTTATTTTACTTCCGTGTAGTTCCTTACCCAGGCATTGGTCATCCTGATGTGGCATGTAATTTGATTATATGCAGGCCAGACCTCTGTTTGTCTAATTGACAGTAATTAAACGAATGCCCCAAGTCGTAGCCAGAGTGGCGGCAAATTTGCCACATCAGCAAAATGTCATAGGCAAATTGATGGATGATGGTTTCTGGGGGCCACCACGCTGAAACTCTGGAGCAACAGCTCAGTCATGCGTGCTGGCGTGGATTGCGGATTGTTGCTGATAGGAGCTGGTCATGCCAGGCTGCCATTCGGGAACCTGCAGAGTCACTCACATATTAAATAAAAGTCAACGGAACAAAGTGCTTGTTGCACACACACGGACCCAGTTACAGTCGAACTTCTCTAAGTCAAACTAACCAAGAGAGAAGGTGCTTGTGAGCTGAACAGAAAATTGTTTGGCAGTTTAACAGCTTAACTTGGTAGAGTTTTGTGTGCTTAACTTTGGTTCTTAAACTTCGCTGAGTGAAATGTGCAAGTTGATTGAAATATATAGTTCCTAGCCCACTAATAACAAAATGAAAGGAACAACTTGCAATAATTACTTAATATTTTCTGTATTTTACTATATTTTTTTAAGGTTCAAACTTCTCCAAGTTGAACTGTAAAATACTATAAAAGGGTATTATAGGTGGGCGTGACAGGGCTGGGATTTTCAAATGCCAATGTCAGTGCCACCATCAGCAACTGCCACTGCCATTGCCATCGGGGCCCTGACGCGTTTTGCCAAAAACTGAATTTTCGATTGGATTTCGTTCGCTTTTGTGCTCACCATTTGACCTCGTCCTCGTCTTCAATCCTCATCGGAAGGCCTCAATTGTAGCAGCAGAAGGAACATTGTGTCGAAATTGTGTGTATGGTGTGGTGTGCTGTGTGTGTGTGTGTGCGTGTTTGGTAATGTGGCTGCTGCATTTGCAATTTCTAAATTCCCGATGCCATGCAACGACAGCAAAAATTACAGTGGCAGCGCAAGGACGACCCCACACACACTAACAGCCCCCAAAAATAGTTGCTGCCTTAGTTTGCCGCAAGCTGATGATGGTGGCGTCGGCCACCTGTCCGTCACCGGATTTATAGCCCTCGAGCTTGGTCCTCTCCAACTGCATTTGAGCTCCATTCCATTTTCGAGCTCTTGGTATTTGGACACGGGTCAAAGCTCCGAGTACTCTGACTACTCTGTGTACTTTCAAAGTCCAAAAATAGCAAAAACCGTATGAAAACTTTATCAGCCCGCAACGAAACAAAATAGTTGGCCAAGAGAGGGGGAAGGAGAAAGCGAAAGAGATGGAAATCCCATAAATGTTGGCCAAATATTTTAAAATGTTCAAGAGAAGCAGAATTTAAGCTGGAATATTGTACAGATTTCTTTGCAAAACAAAGATTATAGGAAAAGTTTATAATTAGTTTTTGCTGGCTAGAGTGTCAGGGGAAATAATAATAAAAATATTAATAAGATAATCAGAATATTATCATTGAAAATGTTGATGTTAATTTACAAACCAGACAGACACTCAAACTCTCATTTCTCTAGCCTAAAGCCCAAATCTTCTTGTTATTCTCCTTAACTGGCAAACACACTAAAGTATGGTCCGAACAACTTGTCTGTCAATTAACGTTAAGCAACTCTAAGCCAGCTCAGGCAAACGGATAATGACGCCTTATCAATCACTTCGACAGGTCTCTGAAGTCCCTTTCTAATTAATATTTGATGCAGAACGGCGATAAGGTCACCGTCATTATGCAGGTGTATGCCACATCAAAGTGCCCGCCAGCACAATACAATTCCCATAAATAATCTTGCCCACTATTGTGGCCAACACACAGACATAGTACATACAAAGCCAATTTGAAGCCTTTTTCGGCTTGGCTGAAATTTGATTAAGTGAGTGCCACACACCTGCGGTGAGAGGGGGGTCTCAAAATGGTGGCCCATCAATTTAAATCAGTTTGCTCGCCGCACCATAAATAAGGGGCGGCTGCAGTCTCTGGGAATCTCAGGGGTCCAGGAGACGCCGCCACATTAGCAGGCATTTTTTACAATTCACCTTAATGGCGGAGATTGCTCGAAGCGGAATGGCGGCGTTTAATCAGGCAAAGTGATTTCTCCCGGCACGCACACTTATGCACCATCAACTTATCAGTTTGCATATGTGCTCGCCAGATAGGACGCAGGACGACAAGGACACGTAGACAGACAGGAAGCCGACACAGTGCCAGCTGATGTTAAGGTAGTTTAACCTTACGCAACGACCCAACTGTAAATCTACGCTGGCTGTCATGCAAAGTTCCAGCCGACTCCCGGTTGCTGCACTTGAAGAAAAATAGGGATACTAGGACCTTCCATGACAGCGGTTAAAGAGTTAAAAAATAGGTTTGAATTCTGCCTGTGACATGAGCAGCCCAGATCTGGCAGAGTCAGGTTTTATCCTTTTTAAAACTTTTCTTTTTGACATTTTTAGGTAAGGGTAGCCTATATCCGTTTTGTTTTATACCCTTAAGCCTGAGCTATTAATTGTTATTTAAATATAATTTAATACCTTAAAGCTTAACCTTATTATCAAGCTCCTCCCACTCAACAGCCCCAAGGAATATTATTTTTTTTCGACTCCTATCGAGCCCTCCATGTGCGTGTCTGGCTCGCGACTTTGCCCCTCGCTTGCTCTTTTTCCTTTTTTGGTTTATTTTACCCAGGAGGTGGAGTTAAATTTATTACCATTTTGCAGTTATAATGTTTCAATATCTCCTTCGGGGTAACAGGGTCGACGGGCTGGCCTGTGTGTGCCCATTATCGCAATTTAAGCACGATTCAAGCAGATATAAGTATATCCCCATATATCCCCTGCTTTGTAGCTCCTTGGATAGCCGGCTACGTGATGTATGAGCAATACATCCCCAGCTCCCAAATCCTTGCTTTTTGTGAAAACGGTTAACTTCTGGCGATTCCTCAAACACCTGCAGATCAATAATTGGTGCTGGCCTTAACTAGGAATCGCTTAATCCCATTCCGGTTAGTGGAGCAACTGGAGCACGCCTGGTTAAGCCAACTAATTGGCATGTGGCAAGTTTCTAATGAGTTGCGAAAACTTCCCGCTGCAAAACAGCTGCGTCACTAGCAGTTGGCCAGGGAAATGACTTTTCATTTTAATGGCCAATACATTTAACATCTGACCTGGTCAATGAAAAAATAATGAGACGAAAGGAATTACCAATAGGATTAAAGTTTATAATTTAAAGAGAAAAAAAGAGGGAACATAAGCTGATCCATCAGTAAATGAGGGAAATAATTTTAATTGATGTAGATTGTTGTATTTAATTAAATTAATTTTACGAAATAAATGTACTAAAACATAGTTGTTAATTAAAAATCTAAAAATGCAAAGCTTGAAACTAATATTTATAATAATAAAAATGTTTAAACAAAAGAAAAATCTAATGGAATTTCAATTTTACCATCAATTTGCCATTATCCTTTAGGGGAAAAAAGGCAAATTTAATTCCTATGAAAACAGGCTGAGTGGAAAATGTTAAATGTGCACTACTTGTACTAAAGTTTTTCACAGAGATACAATCACGAAATGGATACCCCTCCTGAAATGTTTTCTGCGAACATTTTTCGTTGCAAGCTCCCCGAAAAATTATTTTTATGCTTCATCAGGCCGAATAAAGCCAGCAGCTTTTTTGTGTACCAGATTTTCCGGGGGAAGAGTGAGGTAACAGAGATACTTTATCAGCACCCAAACTCGCACACATGTTGGGCAACTAAAGCTGCTGGTATACGAAACGGAAGCTGGAGTGCTGGCCGCACTTTTCCAATTTACGCGCCCTATCACTGGTTATGAAATTTGCATTACTTTCAGGTGAGCGAAAAATGAAATAATATTTTGTAAAAATTTGGAGATGCAAGCTGGCAAGGGGTCAGTGTAAATTAAATTGCAATGTTTATTTAATTCCCCTCTGTTTATGCACCTGTCTCATTTGGGATGCAAATTCGTCGCCTCTTTGCGTGTAAACAACATGTATTTTGGGGGCTGCAATTTATTCAAATAAATAATAAATATATATATACTATATATACACATCATTAGTTCCTCTCAAAAACAGGGTTATAGCGCGTAACTAGTCATTCACTATGCATATGTGGATTATTTTTGCGTCGCGTCGATTTTCCAGCGGGCCATTAAGGGGTTAAAAGTTAGCTCAAGGGCCAGTCGGCTGGCCTCAACCTTGTCCTGGTCGGTTTCCGTGTCTCTGTCTCCGTGTCTGTGTCGTGTCCTCGCGTCCTTGTCGTGACTCAATCGGCGCCACCACCACCGCCGTTGCACACTTGAGCACGTTTGCCCAGGCGCGGCTTGAAAGGCACCGATTTCTTTACCAGGTCGCGCCTGAACTGGCCACCAGTGGCCTCCTCGCTGCCCGCCAGACCCATTCCCCCACCACCGCCGCCGTCCAGGAGCGGCAAGTCAATGCTGCGGCCCAGGCGTGGCGTGCGCACGCGATAAGCCTGCTCGCCGTTGCTTTGCACTGGGAAAAAAATATATAAAAATGAGAATATAAGACAGAAATTTTAGGGTTTCATTAAGAACTACAAAAAATTATTCATTTTTAGGATAGAAATGAGAAAGAAAATTATTTAAGTGCATCTTTATGATCCCAGCTTTTTAAATCATTCTAAAAAATATTAATATCTCTCTAGAGACTAAAACTATAATTTTAGTGTAGAAAAGTAAGCTGAACTTTACTACATTTTTTTATGCATGTAAAAATAATAATATTATTAGTGTGTATCACTATTTTCAACCAATTAAACAACCAGAGAACTCGTCAGATAATTATATAACTGTTAAAGTATATTATAAAAACGCTATGGGGGCAATGACATAAAGCACGTAAATTAAAAAGATAAAACTAATAGCATTTCAGTGTTTTTCCTGTCCGGAAATAAAAGCAAAGCTTATGGGAAAAGTATGCCATAGTTATGGAGATGAAGGCGTGAAATGTGAACGTGATTCGGGATCCAATCAGAAGAGCTTAGCCCTTCCTCGTCACGCGTTGCGTATACGCCCCGTGTATCCCTTGGCGACTTACACTGTCGTAGCTTCTGCAGCAGCAGGTAGTAGGCCAACGGCGGCATGCTATCCAAGTCAAAATCCTGGCCCTGTGGCTGCACGGCGGCCACCGGCAGAGTAGCGCTCGCCTTCTGCGCCAGGCTATTCTCCTCCAGCTCGTCAATGATGTCAGTCAGCTCTTTGTACTCGCCCATGGCGCGTTTCTGGCGCGCCGCTAATGCCGCCACTGCCGCTGCTCCAGCTCCGCCGGATGATGATGATCCGGCTCCTCTGGAAGAGCCTGCCCTGATGTGATTTGCCAAATCCAGTTTGCCCGTGCCCTGCACAAATAAAGTGCCACAAAGCAAAGCACAAAAAACCAGCACACACAGGAGGGATAAAAAAAAGAGGAGAGGAAAATATTTGAGATATTTCCTTATAGGGTGTTTATACCAAGTGTTAAAATATAAGTATAAGGGGATATTACGTTTACGTATTAAAAAAAACAAATTTATCGGTAAAAAGCCATCTAAAAAAATGTTTGCATTCATTTTATGTAGTTAATAACACGAAGCTATAGTTTAGGAGAAAATTATAAATGTAATGGTTTTGTTTAGATAAATATGAAAAAACTAGGCTATAATGGTCTATTTATGATAACAACACCTTTAATTTTATTACAAAAATAAAATTAAACCTTTAAATGCCCAAGAATATGTGTTATTTATTATTTATTTTATGTCCTTTTGATGCTCTCTACCAGGTATCTCATTGTCGAGGTCCTTGAGCTACTTGTTCCTTTTTTTAGGAGATGGCTCAGCCGAGAGCCTGCCAAACTGTCGACACGTGTTAAGTTATTTTTATGCCGCCTATTTATGCTCATACTCGTACGTGCGCTGCACACACAGCGCCTTTGTACCAACACGCTCTTAGCAGTGCTCTTAGCAGTGTGTGTGCGGGTGTGCGGGTGTGCGAATGTGCGAGTCAAGCACTTTATTGTTTCAATTTACAGCCCGGCAGGCAGCGTGTGCCGCTTGATTAGACAACTCAATGTAGATTGAAATGCCAACACCTGAAATCGGCGTGTGTGTGTGTGTGTGTGTTTGGGCGTATACTTGATATTAAACCTTAATTCGGCAAAGCATTTTTAGCCGCAATTGCGTAATACGTATACGCCGTGTGGCTGGCGAAAGTGTTAATTGGATGGGAATCGATTTCCTTCGCATCTGCAGCTTAATTGGTGGCATCGCAAATGGCGTTGACAGTGAGGAAATGAGACTGCACTCGGTGCTGCGGACTGAGGAGGAACTTTTTCCCCAATTTTCCGTCCGTAAAACCAAAGTATGTAGTACGTAGTTGGTAGTAGCGGCAAATTATCGCGCAAAGCTTGCGAACTTGTGCCTGAGCAAATAACACTAATTAAGTGGCGCTTGTTTGGCTGTAGCCCAGCTGTACACTTAACAAAAAAAATACTAAAACTAGACCTTGGCATAATGAAATATATATATTTTAAATATTACATTTTTGTGGAATTTTAAAAGAAGTTTTTCGATTGCTTATTTGAATTGTTTTGTTTTTTTATAAACTCTAAATAATTTTAAAGTGTAACCACTCTCACCTGTAAGGCCTTGGCATGGCTGCCGACGAGGACATAGCAGGACGCCGCGATTAGCAGCAGTGTGCAATAACTGGGTCCACACATAACTGTCCTTGGTCGGTGTTTGCCGTTTATGAGCGCCGCACAGGACACTACGGAAGTGCTCTCTCGAGGCTCTCGACTATTAACTCCGCTCCGGCGAATGGGGACTGCTTTGGCACTTTGGGGCCTTTCGGACAACTACTGATGGCAGCTGCACGGCGATCCGGAATTTTTATAGCCAAATGCGCCTGGACCCCCCATGTGAGCATGATTAGCTCCCTGATGGACGGGTGCTAAGTGATTTGTTATGCACTCTAAGCTCCGGCTGCCCGCTGGTCAGCGTAAACAGGCGGCGGCGAATCAAGCGCAAATCCCAAACGGAAGCGCCACCAATTTGTCACACACACGCACACAAACAGAGCGAGTTTAAATCGGGGAACAAAGTCAACGGGATTGGGATTCGAATTGAGATTGGGAAGCTAATTGAAGAACGCATATAGCTAGTTGGCTTTGCAGTGGGAGAAAATTCGAGGGAAATGGTAGAAACCTAATGGTGATTTATTATCACTGTTTAAGTTATTTTTTTGAGCTGTCTCTCGATTGATATCGACTAAAAATTAATGAGCTATGGAAATATTTTTAATCAGACTTTAATATTAAATTTATTAACTGGTTTTCTGACAGGACAATAAAATTTATTTATAAGAATTTTCATAGCTTGCAAAGGTAAGGAGACTCTGCTTAAGAAAAGGCATAAGAAATCATTGCAATAAGTCAATAGATATAGTCCGATATTCCCTGTGCAAGCGTGGGACATCCCGTTTTAATGGAAATCAGAACGCGCGTAGAGTCCGTCACGGCCCAGAGGGCGAGAGAGCATTAGCGGCAAAGCCCACAACGGAGCAATGTCAATGCCGGTGACGCTGCCAATCGATCAATCTTATTTAAATGTTGACAGTTGTCTTCGGCAATGTGTCTCAGCTTGAGGCCCGTTTGCCATTGGGGAAAGGCTTCCACTTCCACTTCGGCTTCGGCATCGACTACGAATTGGTTTGATTCGTTGTCGGGCCTGCTGTTCCCTGGCTGGCTTATTTAAATGCCATTTCTGAGCCGCATTAGGTTCAATTTGTTGGGCAAACAGCTGGCACACCTGGCGCACACACCTGCCAAGGAGGTTTTGTCACCAAGCCTGTCAGCAGGCATTTAAATTCAGATTGTCGATGGGTCAACAAGGCTGCCCGGGTCGGAACTGATTTAGCAGTTGCCTTTCACAATGGGTTTCAATAACAGCAGGGCTGCAAATCTCCAGGATTTTCAATTAACTAAACTCGAAACCAGGCATCAGACTACGGACATCAGCCATCCATCAATTGGATGGTTTTTTCTCGGTTCTCTGGTTCATGCAACTGGTCCCTGCAACTGCAGAGCTGCTGGTCGAGTATTTATTTGTGCCACTAATTTACACAAACATGGCCAGCACTCGTACGAAGCCCGACTATCCACGACCTCCGACCTGACGACCCCCAGCTGGCAGTTATTTATTTAGTAACTCAATGTGGGGCAAGCAACCTCTTTTGCCGCCTGACGGACCCTGAGGGATTTATCTATTTGCCAAGTGTTGAAAAATGTATCCTTGAAAAATACAAAATACACAGAAATAAGGTCACAAAAGTGCTATTTATTTTTAGAAAAAAATTAAAGCAGGATTAGACCGGTCAACCAGATTATGTGGAGTCACTAATTGGACTGCCAACTGCAGTTCCTAAAATTAGCAATTATAAATGGAGATACATTTTCATTTTGAAATTCCACTTTGAGCTGAAAATGTTGCAATTTTCATCGGTTAAAAGCTCAAATTAATAAACTGTTTTAGTTGGAAGTAGGAAGGCCTACTGGAGAACCTCCCATAAGTTGGCCTTAGTGTTTGCCTTTCGAATTAGTCACTGGATCAATTATTTGCCTTGCTCACTTTATCAGCTTGCCAAAGCTCCGGAGGAGTTAAGCCCTCAAATAGCGAGGCAGCGAACGCCCACACACAGGACACGGTGTGTGCCCTTTTGGCCGAGGCTTCCTTTGGGCTGAGCGAAGGGATTTAATTGAATTAGTCGTGTCCTGTGCGCGCGGCACTTTGAAGTTTGCACTTTACACCCCGCCCCCACTTGAGCATGATTCTTTGGGATTCCTGCCAGAGTCCTCCGGCGCACTTGCCGTTGACCCAGGGACCGCGAGCTCTGTTGACGTTTGCGCTTAGGACGGATATAGGGAGTGAAGAGCCCCCGCAACCTGAGGGCCAGGAAGGGCAACGACTTTGCGGAGTTTTTACCCAGGCCAACGCGCGATGGCAATAATTAAGCCAAATGGTGTGCGAGTGCGGCGAAGGACCTTTGCGACCGATAAATAATGGCGCATTAAATTTATAAGCCACGAAGTGGAGAAAGGAGAGCCCCATCATGTGGTTTTTAGCCAAGAACATTAAAACATTTAGTTGCCAATCTCGACCCGATTGTCTCTGGTTGGACTGGGCAATCAAGTAGAATCTCGACAGTCGAAGGACAAAGCAAGGAGCTGCGATGTAATCGACTCTGCAAGGTTGATTTATATATATTTCATATCCTTAAAACTATTGAATACACAGAGGAAAGCAAGCAATAAATGTCGTACAAGTATACTATAATCAAAAAAAAAGCTGCTATCTTTCTTCAATTAATCTTAATCCCTCCAAAAAACACAACAAAAATTGTCCTTAATAATTTATATATTAATTATATTATTGTTTTCCCAGTGTACGCAACAGCTTTCGTTACACGAGTTGAATAAAAACTTGTAGCCAGCAAATTATATATTCTGCCAAGGACATTTCAAATTCAACTCAATGTGCGAGCTGCTGCTGGCTAAACCTGAAGCTTGTTTTTAGTTTTTCCGAGATGATGTGCTAGCTTTTTTACGGTCAAATTGAGTTGCCAAAGCCCCCTTGACTTAAAATAATTCAAAAGATTATGAGTAAATCTTTTGTTTTACTTAAAACCAGCACTGAAGACAGAGGAATATACCAGATTTTGCTGAAAACATAATGTGAACGCAACTAAAAAAACTTTTCCCCTAGATGCGAAGTAAAGCTCGCTTTAATCCCACTTTTAAAGCAACAACTTGTCTGTATATGTAGTATGTACCCACAAGTGTCAGCACTTGGCAGCTGTGGGGATATAGAAATGCAGATGCGTTGAGTTTTCGCAGAGAATGCATTCCATGTCGAGCGCACACATTGCGTATACGCAACGTATTTCTGTTATATTTATTCTTTTTATATGTTTTAATGTAGTGCGGGAAAAGTTGAAACGGCGGACAGACAAATGACAGGTCTCCGGGTGAGCCGTTCTTCCGGCAAATCAATATGCCAGTCAAAATGGGGTTTATGGCCCCTGAATTTTGTATATATGTGTACATGGACATAAAAGCCCCACGGGCGCAACAGTTCGCAGTTCACAGTCTCATTTTGCCAATCTCATGCAGTTTCACAGCCTCACGCTCTTCGATTATTTCATAAATTATTTATTTATTCATTTGCAGTTCCCGTGTCGCCGACATCTCGTCGTTCGCCTGCAATTCAGGAAATTCGAGAGCAGACTAGAGGGAAAAGCAACCTGCGGAGGATTGGGAAATGGAGTGGAGCCCAGTCGGAGCTTTGAGCAAACACTCGAAACACCACGGAGGAGCCGGAGCAGGAGCCACAGCCAGGATGAGGACGAACTTTCGCGGGCTTGTTTGCATTGCAGATTGCAATTACGCGTACTCGCGTTTTAACTTACGCACAGCATCGGGCCATAGATAAGTCCCGCGTAATGATGGCTGGGAACGGGAAGCTTTAATCAGGACGCGTTGTCTCAAGTGACGGGGAAAATTGAAGACATGTCAGAGGCCAAAGTTACTGACCTCCTTCTGGCCACGACAATGACATTGCCTGCAGCAGGAACAGGAGCAACCACAGCAGCAACAGCAACAGCAGCCTCCGGCAGCCTGAGCAAATCGATTGCAACATTCGTGGCAGGTAGCGTCACAACTACAACATCCACATTAACATCGACATCAGCATTAGCATCAGCTTCAACATCAGCTTTAGCCACTGGCAACAGTAGTCACCTCCTGCATCCCGCCACCACTCTTGCCACAACTGCAACATCTGCTGCTTCTGCGACTGCTTCTACTGCTGCCACAACATCAACAACGAGTCTGCCTATAACCCCACAATTTGTAGATGCCTCGTTGACTTCGCTATCGTTAACAGCCACCTCGTCCTCGTCCTTTGATTACTTCTCCTCCTCCTCCGCCTCGTCCTCGGAGTCACCCTTCGAGCTCCTAGCAAACACAACGGGCAATGCCACCAACATCATCATCGATCCCGGCCAAGAGCCGGAGGAGAGCTGGCTGGATATGTCACTGCTGTTGCTGAAAGGATTCATTTTCTCGTCAATTATCCTGGCCGCGGTCCTGGGCAATGCATTGGTCATCATTTCAGTCCAGCGCAATCGAAAGCTGCGGTAAGTCTTTATATTCAATTACTGCTTTCCTCGGGGTTGCCCATTAAGGTATTTCGTAGCCAGAATGAAATATTTTTTGGTCTGCAAAATATACATGGTTTTTGCACTTTATAAATATAATTAAAAATGTGTTTATTATCCTTTAGTATAAATTTGTTTCAGGTATTTATTTATGGCACAATATTTGTAATAAATACGTTGAAAAAATATTTGTAAATACCACAAAGAGAATTTATTTAAGCCTTGTTTATTTAATTCAGTTTTTTCTAGCTTGGCATTTTATGGAATGTTTTATGGAATTTTTTGTTACCCAACGTGGGCGTCACTGCACCATCTCAGTCACCTGGGCTTAATTGACGGTCATTGCCGCGAGCGCGGCTCACAACAATGCAGTTGCCAAACACAAGAAAACACGCTGGCAACCTCTTTGTGCCAGCGTAATAAATGTAATTTAAATGAGCGACAAGTGGAATAATAAAGCGCAAAACGAAGTTAAATGCGACACACACAGGGACGCAAGCCCATCGCTGCAGCCATGACAGCATGCTGTAGCGTCGCGATGACAGGACGCCCTAGAGTGCAGTGCAAATAAGTGTAGCATACCATTCAGCGCTGGGCTCGAGTCTCGCCCTGCCACGCCTTCTCCGCCCCGCCCACGCTTAATGTTGCGCAACGTTTATGCGTTCGAGGGGGAGGCTCTGATTAAAGAGTTTATCGCGCTACTAAAAAAATAAGCTTAAAGTGCTCAGATTATCGCTTATTGCAATATTATAAAACGTAACTGGTTTGCCATATAGGATCTCGTTAAGATAATATATTAAATGTACAGGGATGAAGCAAGGACATGTCTATAAAAAGGTTTAAGGAAGAGTCTGTAGGAGTCTGTTAAATTATGAGTTTTAAATTAAAGGCAAGAGGCAAAGGTTTCCTTAATTAAACTCAAAATTTTAAGGAAGAAAGATTTTATTTTTAATAATAAAAAGCAAGGCATTTCGCTGTTTAGCTCAAGCCTTTGATTATTTTAGTACAATATGAGTGCAATTTAATGTTTTACATTAAAATATAAGTTCTCCTTTTTGACAACACTTATCTTAGAAACTAGATAATACCTTTTTTTTTGACCAAGACTTTTTGGCTAAAGATGGCAGCCGCCTCCTGGGCGGTCGACTGACTTGTGACAGCCAAGGAAATTGCTGCATGCAGGTGACCTGAGCGGAAATGGCAATGGAAAGCAGAGCAAAGCTTTGTGTGTTTACCCAACAGATTCCATTCCATTTCGGCTTGGTCACTCCACACACGAGTTGGTTGGTTAGCCGTAACAATGCCAAACATAACACACATCTCGCATGTAAAACCCACTAATTCCGGCGCTATTGTTTCGTTCGCAGGGTGATAACCAATTACTTTGTCGTGTCGCTGGCCATGGCCGACATGCTGGTGGCCCTCTGTGCGATGACGTTCAACGCCTCCGTGGAGCTGTCCGGCGGCAAATGGATGTTCGGGCCGTTCATGTGCAACGTGTACAACAGCCTGGATGTTTACTTTTCCACGGCGAGCATCCTGCATCTATGCTGTATATCGGTGGACAGGTATGACAAGACTACATTGAACGGTTTTAAGTTGGATCTCTTTAAATCCAGAAGGACCATTAATCTTGCCCAGCTGCCCGAAATCACTTTCAATGCCAGGGCGAAGTAGAAACAATTAATTACCGTGAAAGGCGCGCACATCAAAAGCAAACATTAGGCCCCGCCCGTATGATGAATGCGGCCCAAATGATTTGGGCGTGTTATACTCGGTCCGCCCCTGCTCTCCTGCCCCCCATCTCCGATCCCCGCAAGCCGTTAATTGGGCGATATCCCAACTTGGAAGGCAGGCCAACAGCTGCTGACCAACAATGGCCAATGGCCAATGGCCATCACTGGGGGCCCCTTTGTCTGTTTTAATTAATTTGTGTTTCGCTCACCTTGTTCTGTGGCCGCAGAAACAAAGGAAATTATATATATAATATCAGCAGCAATCGAAATTAGAAAATTAATGATGGAAATTACTAAGGACGGCAGAGGTACTCATTAGAATACGCATATTAATCATTGTATTCAGATTTCTGCCAATAAAGTAAAAATCTAAGCAATCTCCAACGATATTTCGATACTATTTTAATATATCAGAGCTTTCCGAATTGAATTTTATTGATCGATTTTTGATTCAATGCCAAGATCCTTTGGCAAACTAAAAGGGTACACAAATTTCGGCTTTCCAAAGTTAATTTCCTTTCTTGTTTTCAATAATAGCGCTACTTATACACTAATTAAATACTCTCTCCTTTTTATGGTTTTATAACTTGATTTTCCTGCCTGGAAAAATTTATAAGAAAATGTGATTATTCTGCTGGCCATCAATTATAGTGCCAGGAGCCCCGTTTCCTCCTCCTCATCCTCCTGCTGAAGCATACAACCAGCTGCCACCTTTTGCGGCTGGCCCTGTCCGCAATTCATTTCCATTAATAAAGTTGACCTCCCTTCCCCTTTTGACAGATACTACGCCATAGTGCGTCCACTGGAGTATCCCCTGAATATGACACACAAAACGGTCTGTTTTATGCTCGCCAACGTGTGGATCCTGCCCGCCCTCATCTCGTTCACGCCCATCTTCCTGGGCTGGTACACCACCGAGGAGCATCTAAGGGAGGTGTCCCTCCACCCGGACCAGTGCTCGTTTGTGGTCAATAAGGCCTACGCCCTCATCTCCAGCTCGGTCAGCTTTTGGATACCCGGCATCGTGATGCTGGTGATGTACTGGCGCATCTTTAAGTGAGTGGCCCAGAAAGGATGTGGCTGGTTTGACCCCCCATCCGGCCGATGTTGATGGCTTGCTTAATTGCCGCCGCCCCCGGGTCTTTTTCTCTCCCTTTTCCAGGGAGGCCATTCGACAGCGCAAGGCTTTGAGCCGCACCAGCTCTAATATCCTGTTGAACAGCGTCCACATGGGGCACACCCAGCAGCCCACCAACCTGAGCTATCTGCATCCCAGCGACTGCGATCTGAATGTGCACTCCGCGCGGGAGGAGACCCAGAGTGCGCTGAGCAACTTGGAGGTGAGTCTTGTATCCTTTTTTCTAGAGAAGATAAGAAGGAGGGAAACTTTTCTTTGTGGTCCTGCCAACGCACGACTTATTCCCTGTCGCGTGTATGCCCACAGGACATGCTGCAGCCGGCCACCGATGAGGACGACGACAGGGACGAGTGCGATGAACTGCGCGTCCCTTCGCCACCGCCACGCCGTCTCAGCCGGAGCAGTATCGATCTCCGTGACCTGGAGCAGGAGCGATATGAGAAGGTCACGCACACGGACAGCGCTCCCTCGATGATGGCCTTGCAGCAGCAGCTCCAGCCTTCACACAACCAGCTGCAGCCACCAGTGCCGCTGTTCAACCCGCAGATATGGACAGAGGGCAAGCTGCTCGTTAAGGATGTGGAAGAGCCGCATCCTTTACATCCCACGGCGCCGCAGCAGCAGCTCAGCCTGACCAGCGGCAGCGGGAACAGCGAACCGGAGCCGGAGTCCCAGGCCTACCGCGTCTTCGGGCTCAACAGCGACGAGAGCGAGGGCACCGACCTGTACGACACCCACCTGCCGCTGGCTGAGGATAACAAGGAGCTAAAGCGGCTCATTGAGGACAACTACCTGTACTTCAAGCGGCAGACGGGCGGCACCATTATCAGTGGCCCAGGAGGCGGCAAGTATGCCGCACTCAGCGAGACGGACTTCATTCGCCTCAAAGCCGGAGCAGCGGCCTGTGGACGGAAACCGTATGCGGCCAGCGACTCGGAGTTCCTGCGCACCATCAGCGAGTCCAGAGCTGCCAGCAAGGAGCAGACGCTGCCCGCCGGCAAGGAGAAGGGTTTCAACATCCTCTCGCTGCTGGCCAAGACGAAGCGCTCCAGTGCCGAGTGCTTTGCCCTGGAGCGGAAACGACACCAGGCCAATTCCGAGGGCTCCAGCTTTTTCCGGCGCGCACGGAACCGGAAGCTGTCGCACAGCTACAACGGATGCGGCGGCGGTAAGGAACGCAAACTTGAGCGACGCCAGCGGCAGCACAGTGACACGGACTCCACGCCTAATAAGCCGGACATCCTGCTGGACATCAATGTGCTCAGCGAGCAGAACGGCGCCAGCGTGATCCAGCAGTTCAGCGACGGCGTCCAGTTGATTGACTTCAGCGAGGTGAAGACCCCGGACTCCCAGCTCCGGCCGCGGCGCAGCGACGACGAACTGGCCCAGCTGGCGGACTGCTTCGGGGAGTCCCCCCAGCAGCCGGCCACGCCGCCGCCGTCGCTTTCGCCGCCGGAACTGCCGGAGCCGAGTGGCTTGCTCATTGCCAGCAGCTCGGAGCTAGCGGAGATCTTCCGGTCGCTCAGCTTTCCGCTGGGACGGCCGGCCGGTGCTCCCCAGCGCCTGAGCACGCTCAGCGACCAGGTGTGCGCAAACTACCTAATGTCCCCACCGAATACGCCGGCTCCGCAGACCACAGGCAGCGGATCAGCCATTGACTCCAACGCCAATAGCAACGGGCAGCCGGCGTCCATCAATGTGTACTTCCTGTCGCCGCCGCCGCATGCCGCCGGACCCGGTTATACGCCCAGCGACACCTCCACCGTGTCCCTGGATGTGGTGACCACTCTGCCAGTACCCGTTCCAATGCCCGTCCCAGTGCCGTCACAGCCAAATCCCCAAATGCCCTCGCCCAAGCCGGAGATCATACTCGATTCCACGCTGTCGCCCGTGGAGGCCGGTTCCGACGAGCACAAGGATGTCACGTCGCCGCTGTTCAAGCGCAGAGATAGCAACGGCGATGCGGACGTGAGCGTTTCCGGCGGAAATGGAGGGGGTGGCGGAGGAGCGCGACAGCGCTGCAGCATCCTGGCTGGCTACGATGGCATCCAGACGGTGCGCAAGCGACAGGCTTCCGTGGTGACCTATGACGTGAACGTCATAAACTTTTCGCAGGAGAACAGCGACAGTCGCAGCTACATTCCCATGGGCCGTGTGTCCACGAGTTCAGCAAGTGAGTAGCAAGGATAATGTGTATAGATACTAACATATTGCGTAGAGAACAGGTATCTCTTAGAAATAAATAGCCTCTGCGTTTGGGAAATTCGTGGTATTTTCTAAAGATTTTCCATTTTAATATGTAACTTTAAAAGGCCACTAAAAATATCCTTAATTTATAACCTTTAAGTGTTATTTTCTTCACAAAATATTCAGAATTTCTTAAATGCAGTTATTATTTATTTATGAGTATTGAACCAAAGATAATATAAACTATAAGATGAGTAACGCCGGATACTCTAGGTAGCTCTCGCTTTCTACGCTCTCAAATAGCGTTACTCATCTTAAGTCTATATTATCTTTCACAGAACCCTTCATTTGAGATGTAAAATTATAATGCTTTGAAAGAGTATCTTAGATCAGCTTTCTATAGATTAGTGCTAACTTTTAGCTAGTTGCACCTGCAAACGAAAAGCAGACGGGACTGGACCGACCCCATTAAAGTATCCTACCCTTACCTAATATTCACCCGATCCTTAGCGTTTGCCGGTGCATGGAAGGAGTGACTCCAGTGCATGTGATAATTCTTTGTGTTCCTGAGAAAAGAGTGTCCTGTGAACTACTGTTATCCACTGTACTGTACTCTCGTCTCTATCTGTCTCTCTCTTATCTCTCTTTCTCCTATCTCTTCCACGGCATTTCGTTGTGTGTTCTATGTGTATATATGTAAAATCAAATCACCAAAATTATGCCCAACCAAAACAAAAACAAATACTTCTACTCCAAACCAACTCCAAACAAAACTAAAAAACAATAAATAAAAATCCCGAAAAATGGCAGAGCACGAATTTTCCAATAAATCCTCGCTGATCCGACGCGGCGGCATCTGCATCTTTGTGGATGAGGAGGAGGCGGAGATCATTGAGCAGCGGCCCCGCGGCATCACCTTCGCCCCGGTGTCCAGTCCGTTGCCCAAGTGTCCGCTCTGCGGCGCCGACATCAGCACCACCAACACCACCACAACCAACGCAAACGCCGGCACCACCACTGAAACCACCAAAGTTCCACCAAGTGCTAGTGCCAGTGCAAGCGCAAGTCCAAGTGCTAGTAGTAAACGTAGTAGTCACGCCACAGCTCCGGATCTTGGCCAGGGTTCGCGGTCCAGGTCCACTCGCTTTTGGCACAATCGCAGGGCGGCGGTAACGGCATGTTGGCAGCAGAGCAAGAACCGGAAGCGCCGCTTCGAGACCGGATGCAGTCACTGTGGTGCAACCGGTGAGTCTTGTCGTATCCCCCTCCATCCTCACTCCCGCTCTCTCTGTCCCTCTTTCACTTTCCGCCTCAGCTTTCTCTCCTCTGCAGCACCTGCCTCATAATTCCACCACCTTCTCACATTCAGGCTTCACCAACTGCTAGCCAATGTCAATCATGTCCAGAATGCACCTGGCTCCCTCATCTGTAAACTTTTATTTCGTATCTACCCAGGATCATGTTGAATTTCTATATGCATCTGTATATATTTCCATTAAATACATCATTGACATCTCCCATATCCCTTCAAGATCACCTTTGCTAAGTCCCTTTAAGCTTTGTCTGTCAGGAAAATATATCTCAGTTTTCTGTACATATTTTACAGTTCATAATATTTTAATAATATATAAAATTGGAGTAATATACATATATTAAACGATACAAATAAAGCAGTTAGCTCGTTAAAATAAATAATAAATAAAGTAATTTCTCGACTAAAAGCAGCCAAGAATATTTTTTTAGTCTTTTAAAAATATCAACTAATGAAAACTGAAACCAAGAACCTTCCTTTATTTTTTTTCAACCTCACCACTTGACTTAACCTGATGGGTAAATCCCCAGAGATATGCCAGTTATTGGCACCTTCTTATCTCGATACCCTACTAACCAGGTTAGGCCAGTAAATCCGGAGGGTCGTACACACACACCGCCCACGCCTATAAACTGCCCCGCCGCCCACCTGCCGCCCACCTCACATGCCTCATGCTCGCTCCGCTCTCCTACTCGCTCCGCTCTCAAGCTGTACATAATTGCTTCCGTTTGCACGTGCGTTTGCTTTGCTTTATTGCTCCTCCACTTTGCCATTCGTTTTTGCATTATGATTTCACCTGGTTCTGGCCATCCCCCCCATTCGGGCATCCATCAGCGGATGGCCTCCAAGGATGGGGGCTGTCCGCCGCTTCCTCCTGTTGCTCAGTGCCGTCCGTCTGATTTGTTTTCCTTCCTGACCCCCGCACTGCCCCACGTTTCGAGTGATGTTTATGTTTATGTTTGTGCGGGTGGATTGGTGCACTCAAAAAATTGAAAATTTGGATATAAAAAAGTCGAATATAAAAATTATTTTTGAAAAAAAATTCAAATTAAAAAATATACCTGAATGCCATGTTCTCATGGAAAAATGCAAACTCCTTTATTTTAAATTTTAATGAATTGTTTTTAATTTAAAAATAAATACTAAACCAAGAAACATAAGCAACTTATGATAAAAGCATAAAGAAATAGTATTTCCAATGAATTTCTAGTGTTCAAGTGTACTATTTAAAATTGGAAACCAAATTCCAAGATTTTTGTTCCCAGTGTGACCGATTTAATGCGGGGCATTGTATGTCTTTGTGATAACAAGTGTCCTGTGTAAATATTTTCAATTGTTTGCCTCGTTTTTATTACTTTTGCCGCACACACACACACACACCCGTGCACGAAGACACAACACATGTTGGCCTTTCCAGCAGTTTAATGACAGTTACTTGGGCTGTGGGCCAAGGGGGAGGCGGTACTGGATGGTTCTCGATACTCGCACAACACAGCAATACAGCAACAGCATTACTAATGTCAAAGTTAAACATACCGGGACACGACCCGTCACCCACACGGCGTATACGCAACTTTCTCTCACAATAAAATGAACATAATCTGTATTTTTTAGCATTTTACACTCGGAAAAAATAGAAAAATAGGTTAATAATTTTTCTAAAATAGAAAACTATAATTTCTTTAGTCAAAAAATATTGAAGAATTACAAACTGAAGCAATTCACATTACTGTAACGCATATTTAAAGCACTGTCTCTGCATTTTTTCCGAGTGTAACCACATAGACACCCACAAGAACAGAAGAACTAGAAAACTGTCTACTGCTATGGCTTAGCCAGAACTTGACTCTGGTCAGTGTCCCAAAGAATGGGTGGCGGCCGAGGCGAATCGAATCGAACCGAATCGAATTGAACTTAATCAGCCAATTGCCTTCCTTCATTGCGCTGTCCTAAACTCTTTATCTGCCCCTCCACAGGCGGCTCCGTTCGTCCGGCCAAAGGATGGAAGGCCGAGCACAAGGCCGCCCGCACCCTGGGCATCATCATGGGCGTCTTTCTGCTCTGCTGGCTGCCCTTCTTCCTGTGGTAAGTGGTGGTCCGTAGTCGGTAGTCCGTAGTTCGTAGCCCGTAATCCGTAATCCGAAGTCCACAAGCGGCTGTGCGACGGCTCATCCCCATGTGACTCGGTTCTCACTTACACACTCTCTGCCAGGTATGTCATCACATCGTTGTGCGGCCCCGCCTGCCCCTGCCCCGATGTTCTGGTAGTGGTGCTCTTCTGGATCGGCTACTTCAACTCGACACTGAATCCGCTTATATATGCCTACTTTAATCGGGACTTCCGCGAGGCATTCCGCAATACGCTGGAGTGTGTGCTGCCCTGTCTGGAGAAGCGAAATCCCTACAACGCCTACTACGTCTAGACCGGACGGATGCGGATTCTGATACCGTTGTCGATGATGCCCCCCCTCTTTTCGATATGGAACAATGCCCCTATAAGTGATATTTAATACTCGAGTGAATCGTCGTTAAACCAAGAGACAAGGCAGCAAAAACAAAGCCGGGAAACAGCAAAGAAAAGCAAAGGCAACGCAAGCAAGCATCTAGCTAGTAAAATCCTTCGAGCTAAGCAATACTCAATGTGTGTTTATTACGTATACGTGTGTACATTTCCATTTAAGCAACGATAGGGAATTTAAAAATTAAACTTAAGTTGTGTTCTGCTGGGGATAGTGCTGTCCCCCAACCTATACTATCCATATATAAGTGTTGTTTGTCCAACTAAACAGAAGATATACGTAACGATATACATATGACAGTCAAACAAAAAATTAGAGAATGTGCAGCTATGCTTGGAAAAACACATAAAGTTGAAACGAAATGTTGTCTAATTAGATTTAAGAAGAATGAAAACTTTCTACTTCGGTTCATCGAAGATATGACACTTTTTCTAAACATTAAAAATATTTATTGTAATTGTGGGTCTATTTTTAAACCCTCAAAATTTGTATTTATTTTAATTATTTAGTTAAAATGTGAGAATAGTTTTTAACTCGTGTTATTTTAACATTAAAATATATTATTTCCCTTACTAATAAGTAATTTAATTCAACTACATCCATTTTATTGTTCAACTTATGTTACAATGAGTAGTAAAATCATGGAAAAAGTGTCCCTAACCTAGTCTTACCCTAAGTATCATATATAATCTAGACCTACATGTATTAGCAAACCAAATCTACATAATCGAGAGTTACAAACAAATTGAGAATTATAAATTATGCAAACGAAATGAAGCAAAAACTAGAAATTAGCGAATGAAAGGTAATTGTTGTGTAGGTGACATTATGAATTTTCAAGCAGAAAGACAATCTACTAAAATGTGTAAACAAGAATGAAGTTCGAGACAACCCAAAATTGGCAAGCTGTAGAAAATTTCGCCAGTCGCTGCAAAATCGATTCGCTTATTTCAATTTAGTTAGTTCGATTCCTCCGTCCCTCCTACCACCACCAACCTCCCTCCTTTCCTGAGTTGCGACGACTTTTGTGATAGTAAAGGAAATTGATTGTATTTCTAGTTGAATTGGTTTGCGTTGAGTCAGTAATGCATCCCGTCTAAGTATCTGTGCGATGTGTGAGCGCGTGTATGTTATATCTTTAGGTAATGCCATGTATCGCTATGTATTTCAATGTACTTGCTGAACTAAACTATTGCATATTAAAGTGTGAAACTAACGTGTTTTAAAAACAGTTTAAGGTGTTTTCAATTTTGGGTTAATGTTTAATGGTTTTTCCCTATTTTCGTTTCAACTTTTTACACTCAAAAATAATTTTAATAGATTAATGTAAACGAATATACTCTTTATTATTAATTTTGAATGAGAAAACTAGTTAAACTTCCCGCCTTTTCACTTATTCCTAGAGCTGGGATGTTTAAAAATATAAAAATTTAATATCGAACAATCGATAATGCAATTGCTTAGTAGGTTTCTATTGCTTCCAAAGAATACACTTTATTGAATCAAATTCTTAATTTTCCTGAAAGTAAAATGCAATTAAAGATCAGTTCGGTCAGAAGATTACGTTTTTTATTGCGTTTTTGATTACGTTGTTTAATTACGCGGCTTCTTTGAAACGGATAACCTCGCAGCTGATAAAATCGACCTATCGATAGCAATATCGAAGGTCTTGCAGCTCTAGTTGCTTTGTTATTATATGTTTCCAAGATTCGAATCCCTGGTCGCAGATAATATGTGGGTGTTTCTTATCGCCCGCCGCTCGCCCGTGGAAGTCTGAAGCCCGAACAGCTGCTCAGCGGAGCGCAGGGGCCGCCTGAACAAAAGCGAAAACAAAAAGCCAGCCCGCATCGAGATATATAGGCGAAATCGGCAATCAACGAACAATGAACCAGCGACTCTAGAAGAGCAGAGTACAGAAAGTTGGACTCCCGAGACAGAGCAACAGGTGACCCACAATGGCCGAGTTACAGGAGCTGAATCAGTGCCAACTACTGGACTTGCTGTCCACGGATCAGCGGCAGACTTTTGAGGTCAGTATTTGGAAGATCTCTAACCCCCTGCCTAGTTATTAATACCCTTCCTTCAGGCCTTTATACAGTGGCTTCATGGCAAGGCCAAGGGTCCCGTGCAAACCCATCAGACTGCCCTGCAAGCCATTCTCCAGACCTCACCCTATCCCGCCCTGCAGCTGCTGCAACTCCTGCAGGTCCACTCCAAGCTGCACATTGGACAAATCATAGCCGCCGTACTGCAACAGCTTCTAGCCGAGGGCGATGTCTCATCGTCGAGCTCCCTTTGTTTGCTGGCCAACTTTCCCGACAACATTTTGGAGGCGGCCACGCTTCGCCAGAAGCTAATGACGCGCCTGGCCAGTGAGTCAGCCAGCAAAGAGCATATATTGCTGGCTCTAATGGCCCGTGGCGAGGGCCATTTGCTGGAGGATGTGCTCCACGAAAAGCAGCTAACCATGCGGAGGCAATGCAGTAAGGCGACGCCACCCACCCGAGAGTTTGTGCTGTGGCTAGCCCTTGGCCACCAGGAGCACTTTGTGGCCACCATGTGCCAGCAGTTAAAGGATTTTGAGTGCTTCCAGGATCGCACGCTAAGGAATACCTTGCTTATCCTGCGCCTAGCCAATGAGTTTTCTTTGGGTACCCAGACCCTAGATGAGCTGGGATGCCTTGACAAGTGTCTGAAGGAGTTTGACCCGAGTGCAGTGCCCGAGGAGCTGCAAGAAGTGCACAAGTTCTTCTACGCCGACTTCCAGCGCCTGTCTACTATGCTCGATTTTCTGCAACCGCGGGAGGCGAGCAAAACCCTCAAAGTGGAGGCCCTGCTAAGGGCGCCGGGCGTGCTCACTCTGATCCATGACTACGGCATACGGTGCGAGCACCAGGAGCTGCTCAGCCTGCTGACGGACACTTATAAATGGCAGCTTCAGACTCCTTCGCTGAGGTGTCTCCATCAGCAGGAGACGGAGATCCTCAGCTACTACACCGCGCTCTGTCATGTCTATGAAATGATTCTGGATCAGGGCGAGCAGTCGACCAAGGCCAGGTTGATGCAGCTTTCCGGACAGATGAGGCAGCTACACCAGCTGGGCACATTGTGCTCCCTTCTAGAGGACATATTCCTTTTGGTCTTTCTGCGCTGGGAGCAGTTGGAGCAGAACCCTCAGAAGAGGAGAGAAGATCAACACGATGACGAGGAAGAGGATGATGACGAACAGTATGTGGATGATGATGTCACGAAACCACAGCGACCAGCCGCCAGTCACAGTCAGCGGACGCGTTATGGCTTCATTTGCCGCTCGCCATCGCTGCAGGCCCTCTTCACCTTCCTCCGAGCTTTTGTCACCAAAAAGCTGCACTCCCAAGATTACAAGTGTGCCGCCCAGCATCACCAGAGATTCCAGCGCCTCGTGGATGCCATTAGTGAGGCTTTGTGCAAATTGGGAGTCCTCAACAAGATCGATCAGTCTTTGGTGACTTCGGCACCTTCGCTCGGCTGCCTCCTGGAACCGGAACAGCTGCTGCAGTTGGTGCAACTGCACAGCACGGCCAAGGAGAAGGCCTCCAGCGATGACGAGAGCCGCGAACGCAGCAACCATGCCTCCAGCCTGAGCAGGAGGAAGGCCCGTAAGCAACGAAGGGCGGTTAGTTTCAGTGGGGCAGCCGTTTCAAAGACACCCGCAGACGGAGGACTCACCATGGAGCAGTACCGTGCCCGGGCGCAGTTACTCTCTGGCCAGGGCAGAAAAAACTCCTGTGTTACCTATCCCGGCGAGCGTTCCATTATTCCCAAGATGCTCAGCACGCCAGAGCAACTGGCTATCATGGCGCTGGCTCTTAAGAATTTCAATGATGTCAAGCAGATCATCGAGGTGAGTTTCCATAACCCTTAAATCCTTTTTTTTTTCCTATTAGAATTGCTCTTTGTCCTGGCAGACCTTTCACCTTGAACAGAGCCAGCTTAGTCGGGAGCTTCAGTTCATGGAGCAGCAGCAGCTGGTCAAGCAAAAGCTGGCCTCTATTTATGCCAACTATCAGGATTTAGAGGCGCGACACCCAAACTCGGAAGAGACCACCGTGGAACAGATCAAGGGCGTGGCAGCCAAGGGCTTTGAGCTGTCCAAGATCATCAGCGTGGTTGACAACTTTGCCCAGGCTCAACGCCTGCAGCAGAATCCCGAGCTAAAGGCGCTCATCCTGCGGCATCAGTCGGGTTTCCTTCAACAATTCGAAGAGCGCAACTTAAACGCTTTGATTATTTGCGATCTTATTGTCAACCTAGGCTTCAACCGGGAGATTACCAGCAATCTTCTCTTAGTTATCCGTCGTCAGCAGCAGCTCAAGGTAACTGGCGACGAGGCCATCTCCAGCTCCAACTCCACAGAGATTGGAGCCATGAATCTCCTACAAAACCTGTGCGAGTGCATGCGTCTCTTGGAACGATCTGGCCAGCAGCCTGCTCTGAATGAGCTGCTCTCCCGGCACAGCTATCCTCTTAGGCCTTCGGTTTTGGCCATGCAGCTTCAGCGGGAGGCTGCTTTTCAAACTGTATACAACCGGGAGCCTGGAGAGTACTCCCATGGTCAGGAGCTAAGGGGTAATGCCGGACACTTTCAGCAGTTTCGATCGCGTTGGAACTACTATGCCCGCTTCTGCAGCTATGTCCAGCAGTTAGCACGCCTCCTGCAGCTCAGAGATCCCCATCTGGAGTATCACAACACGCAGCTCCTCAGAAACGATCCCTACGAAGTCATAGGAGAGCTGATCTATGAGTGTGGAATCACCCCGCTAGAGATTGAGTCGAGTGTTACCGCACTTCACCTGAATCTCGTCCATGTGATTGCCTTGAATATATGTCCCCAGTTGGGTGAAGAAGGCATGACTCTTACTAGGAAAACACCTCGGGTAGTGTCGCCACAAAAGCAGGAATCCATCCACAACTACATAGCCCAGCACAACCAGCTGCTGGCCCAGATCCTGCAGGCAGTGCAAATGGGCAGTCTGCCGGAGAGCCAGGTAGGCTTGGACTTCTCCTGTCTGGGGCATGTGATGCTGCTGCCGGAGGTGGAGTGCCTGGCCAGCATATACGAAGATAATCGAGTGCTGGCCGCCTTGAATACCTACAAGTTGGACAGTGCTAGCCTGGAGAAGGTAGTGCCTGATAGGGAGCTGCTGCTGCAGATCCTGCTGCTGGGCATGGGTAATCAATCAGGTGAGTGGAGACCCCTTGGGGTTCCTTAAATTTCTTGCTTCATCCTCTGTTTTTTTCAGAATCTCAAGAGCAACTCAAGACCAGAATCAACCGCCTGATTGCTGACCTCATCAAGCAGGATCCTCGCCACATCCAGCTGGTGGTGCACATGACTGACCTTGGCTTGCGTGCCAGCCTGCTGAAGGAGCACTTTACCCGCATCTCCAGCAGCCAGCTGGCCAAGGAGCTCATCGAAAGGACAGTGCAGCATCACAGGGCCGCCAAGGAGATCCCGCCTCTGCTGCGCTCCCAGCTGGAGCACACTCTCTCGGACATAAACATCTACGCCAAAGTCTCGGCTCTGCTCCAGTTCGAGAGCTGGCCGCAGGCCTATGACTTTGGCCGCCATACGCCCAACGTGATCTTTGAGCAGTTGCTCCAACGGCGTCGCTTTGGCTTGTGCCTCGAGTGGAGCCGCGTGGTCTACCTGGCCGGGTCGGCGGGCCAGCAACGGGTGTGCCTTCTCACCCTGCTAGATGCTCTCTTGGAACTCAGGGATGGCGAGGAAGTGGACGAGAACCTGCTGGGCATTGTGGAGATGTTTCCACCCAGCTGCCTGGTGAACTTTCTCGACACGCACAAGGACAAGTTGAGGTCGCTGCCGCTGCTGCAGTGGGTAATTGATTACCTGGAGGGTCATGCCCGTGATCCAAGGCTGTACAGGAACTATCAGCTCTCGTTGGAGCTGCTCCGGCAAATGGCAGCTCCGGAGCGATTGCAGTTTTGGAAGCTACTCCGTCATCCTCTGCTGATTGTGGAGCAGCTGGTCATGAATGCCCGCTTCGAGCTTCTGGGCAAGCTCCTGGAGGCAGCTCGCAGGAAGTTGCTGAAGGAGAAACCTCTGGGTCCTTGTCCCTACTGCTTCGAGAAGCGCGGTCATGTCTACGACATTCAGGCCACTTCATCGCCTGGAGCAGGCGGAGGATCTGCGTCTAAAGTGCGCTTCCAACTGGGACAGACCACTTCGGAAGCCTTCATCCTGCTGAACTTCAACTCCTACCAGCAGGATCACTTCGTGGGCCAGGAGTGCTTGGATCTGCTTTTACGGATTTACGCCAGCAAGGCCTTGGACTACCATGTGGCCAATCTGAGGGCCGACTCCGAGCCCAGTTCCCTGGGCACGGATGTCCAGAACTCGCTGGATTCCCTTTGCGGCGCCTTCGTAATGCCCAAGCAGGCTCCCAACCGCCAGCAATGGACACGGGACGAGGAGGCCACTCACTGCATGTGCTGTCGCCGGGCTGCCTTTACCATGCTGATGCGTCGCCATCACTGCCGTCGCTGCGGACGGGTGGTGTGCTATGCCTGCTCCACCCATCGCATGCGCATCCCAGAGCTGTACGACGAACTGGAGGTGAGGATTTGTAATGATTGCGCCAGCAGCTCGGCTCCGAAAGACCAGGGAGATGGTGTCTCCAGCGACAGAAGCACTGTCTCCGGATCGGGCTCCTCTACGAATGGCGGCGAAGTCTGCAAGTGGCGTCTCAGCGGGATCATCACCCATGACAAACTCCTGCGCGAGGAGTTCAGCTACGAGCACGCTCCCAGTGTGGCCCTCAGCTTGTCTATACTCCGGCATCACGTAGAGCAGAGGAGCTGCGTGGAGCTGTTGCTCTTTCACTGCCGCAAGCTGGAGAAGCTCATCATGCCGAATCCGGAGGTGGACTATGGCCTGGTGGCCAAAATGATCAACTGCCTGGCCTTTGCCGCAAAGGTGAGTACTTTTTTGGACTTTAAATATATTATTTTCCTGGGAAATTTCTAAAATTAAGGTTCGCGGTGCTCCTGGCGAGTTTGAAAACATTCGCGAGCACTCGGAGATCGTCATGGCTGTGGTCCAGCAGGGCTGTGAGTCACTGATACCAGCCGGACCCCTGAACAACCACAATCTGCGCAAGCTGGCCGATGCCTTGGTGGAGGCTGAGCACTGGACTTTGGCTTTGGAGGTGCATCTCAAGTTTGGCTTCGCCACCACTGGGGTGATGGCTGCCCATGGCCTGGCCTGCCTGCGAGCTGGTTGCTACGAGGCAGCCCGCGAGAAGTTTGCCCACTGCATGACGCGGCTCTCCAACGAGCAGATGAACAGCAGCATCTACAAGTCCATTTTTGGAGGCACTACCTCGGCCACCGAGAGCTGCCCCACCCTGCCAAAGAAGCGACCACAAAGGGGTCCTGCTTTGCTTCAGGAAATTCTCCTGCTGATTGCCTCAATGCCACAGGCACAGCCCCAGCCGGAGACCCTGCACCGGGCCTCGCTCATCCGCAGCTCGAATTCCTCTCTAGCCTCACTGTTTTCGCGACGCCGCGAACCCTATGTCCAGCAGCGACCGCTCCAGGAGCCGGCTCTAAATGTGATGAACGCTTTGGCCGGCATCAGGAATATAGCCAAGGGAAATTACGGCGGACAGATACCACCCAGCGAGGAGGGACGTCGCCAGGAGCGAGGTTTCGAGGAGTCCCTGCACTATGTCCTCACCTACGGCAGCCACGGCGACATCCTGACCTTCCTGATGCGGCGCGAGGAGCTGCGCGCAGCCCTGCGCTATTGGCAGCTCCAGCAGCTGGACGCGGATCTCTTCATTCAGCACATCTTTCAGCCACAGCTGCAAGGCGGCAGCTTGCCACTTCTAGTAGACGAACTGCAGCAGCTGGATGATCCGCAGCTCAGCTCGTGGCGTCTGCCGCTGTTGCAGACCTGCCGCCACCTAGAGCAGCAGCAGCAACTCAACTCCCTCTACCAGCTCCAGCTTCTGCTCAAGGATCCCATCAGGGCCAGCATGACGTGCGTGAAGTTCTACGCTTTGAACTGCGAGAACTTCCAGAAGATGCAGGCCAATGCCCAGCACTTGGTCTCGGCACACATGCACCTACAGGGGGAGCTGGATCTAGCCGAGTGGGAGCACCTGCAGCGACAGCAACAGCAGCAGCAGGGAAGGCGTGGCAGTGGAGCAAGTGCAGCCAGCGTGAGAGGTGCCTGCTTTGCCATGCAAATGGATGCGAGGGCTTTGAATGGACACATCAACACCATAAGGCGGCAGCTGGAGGTGGCCAAGTTTCTGGCGAAATGCGAGAGGGAACAGTCGCCGGATGAGCCGCTAAGAACCATCCAAACGCTGAAGCAGGTAAGAGGAAAAGGTTGATAGGACTTAGTAAACTTTACCAAGCGGAGTTCTCCTTGAAGATCCGTCTAGAGTCCAATCGAGGCACCCTGCCCACGCTGTTTGAAGGTCCCGCAGATCGCATCCAACTGTCCATTCTGGTTCTGCTTTGCGGCAAAAACATAGACGAGGGATTTGGACTGGCCTACGGGTAAACTAAAGGTTTGTGTTAAGCCCTTGATCATGATATATCCTCCATATATTTCCAGTATAATCCAGGACTACAAGTTGGCCACCATCAAGGTGTTTGGTGCCACTGCCAAATACCTGGCCCGTAATCAGCGTCTGGCTGAGGTGGAACGCCTCCTAGACTGTATTGGCAGCAACAATGGCGGCGGTATCTCTGCGGAGTCCGATGAGATCCTCTCCATTGCCATCAATTCCGCCGTGCACAGCAATGCCCCCGAGACGAAGCACACGCTGGACCGGCTTATCAATCGCATCGGCAGTGTGGAGCTTCGCATTTCCTCCTACATTTACATCGGACAGCTCAAGTCCGCCTATCTTTTAGCCAACAAGCACGAGCGCCTGATGGACATCCGGAGAATCCTGCGGCAGGCGGAACTCACCGGCCAGGTGCACATCAAGAAGCTGTGCGAGATGAAGCTCCAGCTCAGTGGCACCGCCCACGCCTCTGTGATAACGTAACCCCTCGGGCAATACCCACTTACAATTAGTTTTAAAAATCAGAGGTAGCCACAGGCTGTGATAGGGCGATTAATAGATATCTCTCAAGAAGCCTGTCCAAGCTCAATCAAATTGAGATGAAACTAGGTTGCTTTATCAAAGCCTTCGATTGGAACGCCTCCTATATACTCTCTGTCTGGGCTAGAATAGGAAATCTTTTTTAACTTAGAATTTAACAATTAGATACAATTTTAATCTTTCCAAAGGGCCAGCTAGTATTCCACCCCTCGAGCTCAAAGACTCTCCCCACTAACCAAATTATATTATATTGATTGTATTTGTATTATCTCAATGTTGCCGATTTTTATATCAAATTATACCTGTTATATGTTTATTTACACGAACCGCTCGAGTTTGAATTTCTCGGGGGTTTCCAGCACTGATTTCGGGTTAGTTTCCAGCACTGAACCGACTGAAGTTCGGAATATATAGAAATATCGGGCAATGCGGGCGGTTATACAAAGGGTTAGGGCCGCCAAAGTGACGGGTATGTCTGGATCAAAAGGATAACACCAATTGAAAAGCTGACAAACCCTTCTCCTAGTGCTAGATGAGCTGGTGTCCTCCATTGGGCCAGGCCTGTGCGTGCTGGTGGGCATAAAGGCCAGCGATACCGCCACAGATGTCGACTACCTGTAGGTAATTCCTGCCAAAAACAACCACAACCACATCGTCTTTGACACCACTATACCCCTTTTAGGGTACGCAAGATCCTGGCCCTGCGTTTATTCGAAGAGGAGGGCAAGCGCTGGCAAAAGTCCGTCAAGGACTTGAGCCTGGAGATTCTGTGCGTGTCGCAGTTCACACTATACCACCGGCTGAAGGGTAACAAGCCGGATTTCTCGGCGGCCATGAAGGGCGAGGAGGCCCAGCAACTGTACAATCAATTCCTAGAGCGCCTGGGGCAGTCCTACGACAGCAGCAAGATTAAAGGTGGGTCTGACTGTCAGGCTTCTCCTCCAGCGCTTAATCCGGTTCCCTCCCACAGATGGCAAATTCGGAGCCTACATGCAGGTGCACATAGAGAACGACGGACCCGTGACCATCAATCTGGAGTCACCGGAGCAGAAGCAACCCGGCGAGGCGGTGGACAAGTGAGGTCCAGAAATAAAGGCAACGCTTTCAACTTTTATGTACCACGGGGTTTTTATTGTTATGTTGTGTATTTTATATAGCAAGCGTCCTAAAACTAAAATCAGTGTACGAGTCCTTAGGCTTCTAACATCTCCAGATCCTCGATTCCCATTCCCTCCTCGAGCCTCTTCTCGAGTTCGCGCGCATCCACGTAGGTGATCTTCTCCTCGGGCAGGTCCTCCTCCTCCATGAGGGCAGCTTCCTCGGCCGCCTCCTTGGCGCGTCGCTCCCTGAGGCCAGCGGCCGGCGAACGGATGAGGGACATGTTGCGCTGCACATCCTTGACATCCATATGGATCTCCATCTCGCGGCCCTTGCGGAGGCGTTCCATCACAAAGTGGTTGGTGCGACGCTCCTTGATCTCCGTCACGCGCTTGATGGCCACCAGCGCCTTCTGCCAGGTCTCGCGGCTGTATTTGATGGGCACGTTGCGGCGCTTCTCAAACTCAAAGCTGGAGTCGATGGCCAGCTCCTTGCCGGCGGCCTTGCGGTGCGCCTTGGTCCAGCCGACCTTGCGGGGGTTCTTCTTTCGCTTGAAGGCCTTGTGGCACTTGCCCCGACAGAACTTGAAGATCTACGGATACACAGGAAATCAAAATAAACATCCAAGTCCTGGCTTAATTTCGGAGTAAGTTGCTCTCACCTTGCAATCATTACGCACGAAGTTCACCCCGTGGCCAGGGTATATCTTGCTGGAGCAAAAATAACACGTTTCGATGCGCATTTTCGCAAATTACGAAGAATAATCTGCGAAAAAAACAAAACGCAAACAGCCAGCACGTGTGCTGCTGAAGAAGAAGAACGAAGATGTATCGATATCGAGAGTGTGACCATTTTGTCGATATAAACGTCGACATTTCCTATCGATTTCCAAGGCTATCAATGCTATCTCACCTCTAAGCGTCTGGGTTGAGCCAACAGCTGTTGCGCCAGCTGAGCACCCTTGGCCGCCCTGGTCACACCGCGCCAGCATCCAAACAACACTCCACAGACGGAGAAAACCCGACACATCACCGCCGAGATCTTGCTGACGTGCGACCAGCTAGATGCAGAGCCAGAGCCCCGCTTTCGCCTACAAGGAACGGGAACTCGCCGATCACTCGCCGCGCGCCATGTATATGCGCGACTGGCGGTCGGCCCTGCGAACGCCCACGTACAGGATCGGGAATCGGACGGTGCGCTTCAACTACCACTTCGCTCTGCTGATAGCCTGCGCCCTTGGCTTGGTCCTGCTCTTCTACTTTGCCCGCCAGGGCTCGCAGTCGTCCTCCGACGGCTACTGGCTGCGTCGCAGCTTCGCGAATGCCCGCAGCCTGGACAATGGGCCTGGGGGCCAAATCTACAATGCCACATATCCACTCACACCCCCGATGGTGCTGCGTGGCGGGGTGATCAACTACCGGATAGCTATGATCGCCGACTTGGACACCAACTCCAAGTTGAAGAAGAGCGACGGCAGCAGTACGTGGCAGAGCTACCTCAAGAAGGGCTACCTCACCTACACGGTGGCCAGGGCGGAGATCCAAATCAGCTGGGACGATGGGGCGCCCACAGTCCTGGAATCTGCATTTGCCCTTAAGGGTCGTGGCATGGAGCTCTCCGAGCTGGTGACCTTCAACGGCCGCCTGCTCAGCTTCGACGACCGCACCGGATTGATATACGAAATAGTTAACGACAAGCCCATTCCCTGGGTGATCCTGCTGGATGGCGACGGGCACAGTGCCAAGGGGTTCAAGTCCGAATGGGCCACGGTGAAGCAGCAGACCCTCTACGTGGGCTCCATGGGCAAGGAGTGGACGACGAGTGCGGGCGACTTCGAGAACTACAATCCCATGTACGTAAAGGCGATCACGCCCAGCGGCGAGGTTCGATCCCTGAACTGGGTGGATAACTTCAAGCAGCTGAGGCTGCAGTCGCAACAGATATCCCGGCCGGGCTACATGATCCACGAGAGTGGGGCCTGGTCGGAAGAGAAGCAGCGCTGGTTCTTTTTGCCCCGACGATGTTCCAAGGACAAGTAGGATTTATTTAAGCTAAGGAATCCAGGGAATACCCCGATAATATTTGCATTTTGTTACAGATACAACGAGACCAAGGATGAGCACATGGGCTGCAATGTCCTAGTCTCTGCCGACGAGAAGTTCAGCCAGATCGAGACGGTGCGCCTTGATCCTGAGAACACAATGCCAACGCATGGCTTCTCCAGCTTCAAGTTCCTGCCCGGCACCGATGACTCCATCATTGTGGCCCTCAAATCCGAGGAGCTGAATGGCAAAACCGCCACCTTCATCACAGCCTTCGATACTACGGGCAAGACCCTGCTGCCCGAGGTGCGGATCGAGACGGAGTACAAGTACGAGGGCTTCGAGTTCATTTAGCTCGAGTTGGCTCCACTCCAGTTCCAAGCGTGTACATAATGTATTAATGCCCCCATATACAGTAAGCTTTATATTTATAGTTAGTCCAGAGATGCTCAGCTCATGACCCGTGTGACTCCTTGTCTTGTCTTTGTACCATAGCACAAATCAAATTTTAGTTTATGTTTAATGAAATTGAATTAAAAAAACGTACAAAGCCCTTGGCATAAACTCAACAAAGACACATGATCATTCGACCTTGGGTCTCACATCCACTCCTGCCACCTGCAGATCGGCTTCGTCCACGCGTCCCTCGCTGGCTCGCACCTCCAGGCGGTCGGCATTGTGGTTGACATTCCACAGATCGGGCAGAAAGCGTGGCTGCATGGCGTGCAGGAAGTGCTCTCTCCACAGTCGCTCCAGCTCCACCAGACCGCCGAATTGCTGGCGGTAGCGTTCCACCACCCGCTCTCCATGCTGGCAATAGTCTGTATTCTCCACGCGGTATTCCACGCTGGCCGCCTGCCGCAGCAGCTCCTCTGTTATCTCTGTTTGGTCCGCGTAGAAGTCGAGAAGGGTTCTACGCATTTCAGCCACCTTTGCAGCGGGTATTTTCGAGCCGTGTTGGAGGAGAGCATTGCCAGCGGATTGGACGCGTCTGGAAGGGGAAAGATATCATTTTAGGAAAAACAAAACATTTTTAAAGATGTTTCGGAAGTGACGCTTAACTTGGCTGATAAAAACTAGACAAGATGACTTCTCCCCAGAATTTGTGCGAGAGTACTCACCGCAGCTCCGGATCAATTCGATACTTCTCGTGTCCTTCTCCATTCTTGAAAGGAGCCTCACACTGGACAGCCAGCTTTGTGCGTATCCGCAGATCTGAGATATTGCTCAACTGGTGGCAGGTGGGGCACAAAAGCAGCACGTCATGTGAGGTGTGTGACTTCATGACCAGCGGAAAGTGCTTTCTGTACTCCCTTGGCACCACATTCTTCCGTATATACGCATCCCGATCGCCGCAAACGACGCACTGGTTCTCCTTGGGCGTCTGATAGTAGCGACCCACATCACCCACCGCTCGACCCGCTGGCTCAAAATTCAGGCGCACTGTGAAGGGCTCCTCGCTGATCCGAGTGCCCAGATTTTGATCCAAATACCAGGACGCCTTGCGTCTGTCAATGGTGCACAGGAGTTCGCCATCTGGCGCCTGGAGCAGGCAGTTGTCGTAGAAGGTCTTCGACTGGGTGGTCATGGTTCGGCATGGCTGCTTCTTGGGCAGCAGTTTCTTCGACTTGGAGGCTCCTGCGTTTTTCGTGCGGGTGACTCCGTTGCCGGTGAGGCTGAGAGAGAAGCCCTTGGTGAAGTCCACGTCCAGGAAGGGTTCGAACTTGTTGTGCAGCTTTTGGGCGTCCAGCGATCGGCGATCCCAGAAGTTTCTTGGTTCCAGATCCCTCGAGAGCTTTTGATAAATGGCCACGGCCACCAGGGCATCGTTGGCGGCATAATTCAGTTGAGCAGGCTCCAGTTGCTTGGCCTCCCAGTTGGAGCAAGCCAGGCGCCAGTTCTTGTCCAGAGTATAGTTCAGGTGTGTCTGCGACAGCTTTCCCAGGCCCTCGGGCTTGTGACCCGCCATGACGCACAGGAAGCGCAAATCCAGGGTGCTGGCCACGCCAACTCCATAGTCGTGGGACAGCTTCACGGCGTCCTCCTGCGGGGCCACGCCCACCTTGATGACAGCGTCATCCTCTAGCAACTCCCGCAGGTCCTTGGGTATCTGCTTCATGTGGCACAGGCGGAACAGGGCGCACAGACCCCGATGGGAGCTGAGCTGGAGGAGGGCCACCGGGCGCCGGCTGCCGCCAACCGTGATCCATTCGCAGTCGAATCCCAAGACCTTGAAGCTCTGGCAGTGTCTGAAGCGAGGCTTGGGTAAGTCACTGAATTTCACAAGAAGTATGCCGCATTACTCACTGTTTCAGTTCATTGATAACCCATTGCGTGGCCGGATCCTGAGCGGAATTTATGATTTCTATGCGCCGATGGGGCAGCAAACTGTCTGTTGGCCATATTCGACGCAGTGGAATCAGCAGCTTCTGCCTGTGACGTACCAGGACGTAAACCAGGCCCACACCGGCGGCTACAATTGCCCATTTCTTGGAGCCCACCACTCCAGACTCCTTGCTCATAGTTTTCTTTTTGGGACAGTGGGCTGCCAACTCGGTTTTGGAATTAAGGTTGGAAAATTAGCTAGAAAAAGCTATAACTTTATTTTTTAAAATGATGTGTAACTCAAAACATAAATTCATGACTGTGCCATAAAACTGTGAAAAAATGCATTTAAATTTAATATGCAGGCAATTATCCTTATAACAACTGACGCAATAGCGCATTCCAAATTAAATTTAATGCATATTTTGCTTAGTTATGATCTTTCAAGTTTTGACTCTTAAAAATTATCATATAAAATTATGGATAATATTTAAATTAAATTGCATACTGAATTTAATTTAAATAATATCCATAATTTTATTTATTTTTATAATAATTTATAATCTTATAAAAATTAACTCAGAACAGCATTCCGATTTGAATTTAATGGATTTCAGGAGTCATGGATTTCAATATTTTCAGATTTATAAATTTAAATGATCAAAAATATTAAAAGAAAAAACGCCAAATGTCAAAATCACGCTGAAAACTGTAAATAGACCGTTATTAAGAAGCCATATCCTGCAGGCTGGCAGCACTGGTGGCCCAGTGTTAGTCCAAGGGGTGGCAGCACTGGTGCGCAGGCTTTTGCCAATCGCCGTTTGCAAAAAGATTTAAAATGTTTAATTAAATATAGACGCCGCGGGCAAACAATGAATAAAACTCTGTGAAACGGGCGGCGGGGAAGCGATGTGCATGTGAAGCTTGCGAAAAGGCGGCAGCAGAGAGCAGGCAGGAGCCAAAATAAGGGAAAGCAGCCAACCAAATCGATTTTTTCAGTGCAGGTGAGACACTAAAACCGTTGGTTGCCACACACACACACGCACCCCCAAAAGTACACACACTAATGCAGATGATTGCAGGATGCTGAAATTTTAAAAGGATCGACTTTAGCCAAAAAACCGTTAAAATGCCGGAAAATCTGGAGCTGCAGCAGTTCCAGGAGAGTGCCCCGCCCCCCGACCCAGCCCCCCGCTGGCTGGAGCGCCTGCAGCGGCGCCTGGGGGCCAATTGTCCTTACCTCGGCATCCTGCTGGCAACGCTCTCCTCGCTCTTCTTCTCCCTCTGCTCGGTGATTGTCAAGGGACTGGTGGACGTGAATCCCATGGAGCTGGCCTCCTTCCGCTTCGTGGGAGTACTGCTGCCGGCGCTCCCGATCCTGATTTACACGCGACAGCCGGTATTTCCGGAGGGCAAGCGGGTCATCCTGCTGCTGCGGTGCTTCATGGGCACCACGGGCCTGATGCTCAGCTTCTACGCCTTCCGGCACATGCCCCTGGCGGACGCCAGCGTCATCATCTTCTCCACGCCCGTTTTCGTGGCCATTTTCGCGCGCGCCTTCCTCAAGGAGCCGTGCACGCTGTTCAATGTGCTGACCATCAACCTGACTCTGGTGGGAGTGGTGCTCATCACCAGGCCTCCGTTCTTCTTCGGCGGGTCGGGCGAGAGTGAGGATGTGTCCGGCAAGACGTACGATATCTGGGGACCGGTGGCCGCCATTTCGTCCACGCTTTTTGGCGCCAACGTCTACATACTGCTGCGGGCGCTGAAGAACCTGCACTTCTCCGTGATCATGACCAATTTCGGAACCATCGCTCTGGTCTACACCCTCATCGTGTGCGGTTCCATCGGCGCTGTATGCTGGCCCAGCTGCGGACGGGATCGCTGGCTGGTGGTGGTGCTGGGCGTGTTTAGCTTCCTGGGCCAGATTCTGCTCACCCTTTCGCTGCAGATTGAACAGGCCGGACCGGTGGCCATTGCCCGCTGTGCGGACATCGTCTTCGCCTTCGTCTGGCAGATGCTCTTCTTCGGGGAGACGCCCACAGCCTACTCCCTGGTGGGTGCCGTCATGGTGATGGGATCCGTGGTACTGACGGCCCTCAAGAAGTGGGCGGGCACTCTGCCACGCGAGTCCTCGCTGCGGAAGCGGTTCAGGCTCATCCTGCTGGAATAAAAGTGTTCCACTTCGATCGAAGAAGTTCGCGGTTTCTCCCCGTCTCACCATCGTTCTCACCTAATCCCTGCCAGAACCAGGCATCGAACCAGTTCATTCACCGTAGACTTAACTTATATCAAGGCTCAGATCGTAGTTTAATCAATAAAAAAGAAGAAGGATCGCGTGATATCCACTCCACTCTCAATGAAAATACTCGTAGTGCGCGTTTAGTTTAGCCAATTTCGCCGATTTGTTGTTTTGTACATTGTTATACATGCTTACAAATACTATAATAAATACGACTTATGAGTAAATATGTTTCGCGGTAAAAAATAAAATTAAATTAAAATAAATTAAAAAATTAAACCAGAATTGGGAGGAAATATATCGATTTTAAGACATAATTTCTATTATAATGTGATTTTTTTAGGAGAAATTTTACATTCGAAAACATTGGCGGGTAAAATTCGAAAGGAACAAAATGTATCCTTTCAACTGCAGCTGGTCACACTTGAATAGTCCTTAAAGCGGTCATGGCGTTGCCTGACGTCTCTAGTCCATAGCAAAGTTTTCCACCTGCTATATATCGATGTTTTCAACTATCGTTTTGTTCGATTTTTTATCCGAAGATATCGATATTAGCCCATCTCTAGTTAGTTTTTGTTTGTTTATTAATTGTTTACATCAGAGAAATAATAATTTTCCGGCAGCAAGGACGAAAAAAGGCAAGGAACGGAGACGGAGACTTAAACAGGAAACAAGGACGCCGACTAGAAGCCCAGATCGGCAATAACCGCGTCCAGTTCGTCCTGCAAGTTGGTGGCCCGCGATCGCACCTGCACAATTTGATCCTGCAAATTGTCCACGTTTGCCTGCAGCAGCACGTTGCACTTCTTCATCGCGGCGAACCGGCTCTCGTGTTTCTTCACCCGCGGCTCCACGTTCGCCTTCTTCACGGAGTTCGGCGAGTCCTTGCAGGATAAATCAGGAATATAAACACAGGTAAGTTCGAAAATTCATGTAATACTTACCTCCGGCTCGGACTCGCTGCCCGTCTCCGCTTCGCTGGCCTCAGACTCCGACTCCTCGGACTCGTCGTCGGACTCCTCCTCCTCCTCTTCGCTCTCGTCCTTCTCCTCGGGCTCCTCCTCGTCTTCGTCTTTCTCCTCGCCGTCTACGTCGTCCTCGTCTAGTTTCATCGAGGCAGCCATCTTCTGTACCTCCTTCTCCAGCTTCTTGAACTTCTTGTTCTCCTCCCTGTCAAGGCAATTCAAAAATTGGTTATGGAATCCTTCCCGGTCAAAGGTTTCTACGCTTTACTCACTTGAGAATCACGTGGTTCTTTTTCATGGCCTGCTTAAGGGCATCCTTCTCCTTCTTGGCCGCCTCCTCCTTGACCTTCAGCTTGGTCAGCTTGCTGCGCAGGACCTTCAGCTCCTTACCAGACCGGCGCTCCCTGCGCTCCGTCTTCTTCTCCTCCGGCTCATCCGGATCGCTCTCGCTGACCTCCAGCTCCAGTTCCGGCGAGCTGTCACGCCCGAAGTTGGCATCGCTGGGTCGTCGCGATCCATCCATAGATCCACCGCCCTGGGCGGAACACGAAATGGGGATAGGATACAAGAGAAGTACAGATTAGTGAGGGCGTCGCTGGCGGGGCTTGGCTTTACCTGGTGCCTTGCTGAGCGGTAGTGGTCGTAGTGGAAGCAATCGTCGTCGTAGTCGTCGTCGTCGTCGTAAGCAAAGCAATTACTAATGTGCAGTCTGTTAGTGCTTGGTGTCGCCTTGGCAAGAGAGCGTCAACACGGGTTAATCGGTTAGTTGCTGCGGAGGGCAAGAGCGCGAAAGCTTCCATGGGCAGAGGATGGGACGGATTTGGGCGGGTCATAACACCGCTTTGAGTCTGGGTAGGTTTTTGGTGGGTTCTTCTGGCAGCATGCGTGTCGGTGTAGAAGTCGGTTTTAAGGGTGGTCTGCAAGCAAAATCCTTGAACTATTTTTAATAATATAAAAAATTCCCTTTCCTAAGTCCCTGTAGATTAGGAAAGCAATTTTTTATTTTATTCACTAAAAACCCTCGGTTCTGAACGAGAGTGTTTTCTTTTTCTTTCCAAAATTAATTGACCGATATCAGAAGATATTAAAATAAAAATAAAATAAATAGATTGAAGCTAAGTTAATTGAAGTTAATTGAAGCTTAACACAATGGAACACAAAATTTAAAGGAAAACCCGGCCTTATTTGCAGAGAAAATTTATGTATTAAGTTACGAGTTGCCAAGAAAATTCCTTTCTATTAAACCAACAAAATTGAAGAGCTTTGTTGTGCGTTAATTCAAAGTCTTCATACTTTAAAGCCCAAACAGGGTCTTAATTAAATGCATGACTTTCGAAATTAGAAATTGCTCTCTTTGTTGTGAGTAATTTTGTGAAAGTTTCTGACCAATTATGATGCGGTCAAAGGCTTTGTGCGCAGACCAGAGTTAATAATCGAAAAGTTCTGAGTTTTTATAGGCTGTCAAAGGTGAGGTGAGGTGTCCCTGGGCGGTGGTACATTCCCAGACCCATCCTAGACTGGTGTCAAGTGTTGTCAGCTGATCTGTTTCTCTGGCTACAATAGCTTCTAAGGATAACTAAAGTAGGGGCTCTAAGTGGCTACTACAGATTGCGGTGGCTTTGTTAGCTGCTCCCGTCTACTTTCCGCCCTCGGCGGATGCAGCGACCCGGCCCCGGCGACACTAAAAACAAGAAAGGATGTCTAGCCTCGAGTACCGATGCCTGGAGTACCCTTGCAGACTCATTTAAATAATTTTTGAGAAAGTAAAATTGTTTTTTAAACTGTTTTCAAGCAGACGGACCTAGGATTTTACAATTTGATGTCTGCAAGAGTATTATAGGAAAGGGTTAATAGTAAGTTAGGAAAGGTTAAACCCAAATTTCGAACCTAAAACCGTCTTCCAGTCTCAACTGACAACACTTTGAGCAAAATCCATTCCCTTCCATCCTCAAATTTTGCCCTAAACATCGACTTACCTTCAAGGCCGCTGCCAATTTGCGCTCTAGCAGCTGGATCTGTCTGCGCTGCTCCTCCACCTCGGTCTTGGCCTCCACCAGCTGCTCGCTGGTGCTCTTGTAGTTCTGTTCCACCTCCTTGGACACCTTGCGTGCATCCTCGACCTCGCGCTTCAGGCTGTTCACAAAGGTCTGTTCGGCTGTGGGCGTGGGATCCATGGTGGCCACGATCACGTTGGAACCATACTCCAGGTTCTTCTCGCGAGATTTCTCTCGCTCCAGCTCGGTTTCCAGGGTGCGGATCTTGGCCAGCAGCTTTTTGTTTTCACGTTCCTGTGCCTCTCGGTTGCGGAGCTCCAAAGCCAGCATCTGTTTGGTGCTCTGGAGATCGTCACGGATCTTGTCAATGTCGTCCAGCTCGTCGGGACTCTCCTCGTCAATGGACATCGCCGACACAATGCTAGGTCGGGATCCTCCAGCACCCAAAGCGGTTGTACTAGCTGGACCAAGAGCATGGCTGCTGGGTGCCTCGCTGAGCATGTTGATCTTCGACTGGGACTTTTGTAGCTGCTCCTCGATGGTCATCTGGCGGCGGAACTTGCGCAGACCATCCAGCACGGGCTTGCTGCGATCATTGGTGCGTGTGGGCTTGAGCTTGATGCCGCCTTGGATCTGCTTGAGTAGCTTGTTGTGCGAGTTGTCCTTTTCCGTCTCGTAAATGAACTTGTCGTCCACTTTGGTCATAGATTTGCATGTTAAGATGGGCTGAGATCTGTGAGGAGATTAAGTAATCATTAGAACTTTTCAAGTTAATTTTCTCTTAAAGTTTTCATTCCAGACGCAAAGTTCCTCTGCTTTCGTGAGTTATTCATCTTATTTCCTCTTTATATTTAATTTTTAATTACAAAACTATTTAGCAGACTTGTTGGCCAAAAAGTTAACTGTGCAAGCATGGCAATGCTTGGCATTAAAAGTTTTGCCGCTTTGTTTACCTTTACCTTCCGCCCTAGTTGGTTTTTTAATTTTTGGGAGTGTTGCAATCTGTAACTACTTGTGTAATCCGGCTGGGATTACTCGCCGGTTAATACCCACCTATCGTTGCAGGCCACATGGCGCAGCTTCCTGCCGCTCTCCACCTCCTTCATCATTTCGGACCAGTCCGGGCGCCTTCTAGGTCGTGTCCTGCGAATCGAAGCGAATCGGAATTATGGTCATCCTATGAGGTATTCAGGGAACCGAATGCCAGAACCCAGATCGGGGATCAGGGTTTGGGAGCCAGGGGTCGCTATGCACTCACCTGAGCTTCTCGAGTGTCTCCTTTTGTGTGCTGCTGAGCTCTCGCTTCTCGCCGGGTGCCAGGGGCGGTGGTGGCGGTGGCGGGGCCTTGGGCACCAACGAGGGCAGCGGCGGCGGGGCGGGAACTGGAAAAACAAAAAGAACCAGGAATGCACCCGGAGGGTTGGGGGTTATTCTCTGCCAGATTGGAGGAATGGGGCTTTGGTGCTCGCTGCACGCTGCTAGTGGGGCCGAGGCGAGGACTGGTCGCTGGGCATTAGAGCAAATCGTCGGGTGCTGGCTGCGTGCACTCGCGGTTATTAAATATAATTTTAATTTAATGAGTTTGCAATTTGTGTCAGTTGTTCTTGTTTGCTGTTCTTCTTTTGGCTCCCGCTGGTTTCTGCTGTTTTACCCCCAGGCGGACTGGCCGCCCCCTGTTTAGCTGTGCTTTGTGGCCAAAGTTCCGCCATACATATCAATCGGGGGTAAGGAGAAAGAATGGGTGGAATGCACTTAAAAAAGGCATTAAACACCAGAATTTGTAAGGCATTCGATTTATTTACTTGAGAAATGTATTACACAAAATACAATTAGCCAAGTATTTGGTGGATTTGGAAGAAATTTACAGTTAAATGTTATTAAAAATAGTTCCAGAAATCTTTTTAAATTTGAAATGTTTTCAAAATCAGTTTAAAAGTATGGAAAAAAATATTTTCTAACCAAAATGCAATTCAATATGTATTTTTTGATATATTTTAGCGTATATTTAACGCTTATTTCAGGTGATTTTGATAGAGTTTCTAATTTTAAATCGCTTTACATTTTAAATTAATTTTAAAAAAATTTCTCACAGTATGGAATAAAAAATTCTTTGACCAAAATTGAATGCAAATGGTTTTCTTTTGTTGTGTGTAACAGTTTGTAGTTTACTTTAGACCCGCGTTTCAAGTGATTCTTAAATCTACAACTGTTTTTTTTTTATCACTTTCCTTGTACATAATGTTATTCAAAGTTGCTATAAACGAACAAGGAATTTAATAATGAAACTAAAATGCTTCTAAAATCTACAAGTAATTTTATGGCATTCCTAACAATGCAACTTTAAACAGTAATCTATTTTAAACAAAAAATCTTTAAAATTAAAAGCAATTTCTTATACAAATTGCACACTATTTAAAAGGTCTTTACAGTTTTTATTTGTAATTTTAAATACCTTCCGCTTCCCTATAGTTCAGTTTATAGTTCAATAATTAATGCCAGTGTAGTGCCATGGGTGCGGGTGGAATCCCAGACACATGGCTGTCTCTGTCGGAAGTTGCAGCAGAGATTGAAAAGTTAGTGCCTCGTCCTCGGCCTCGTCCTGGAACCTCTGGACCTGGCTTTGATGGTGTTTTATTGCCTTAACACCATTCAATTCGGTGAACGGGCGGGCGACGGACGGATGGACGGTTGGCCGTGGCCGAAGGGGGGTGGGCACAAAACTTTGATTGCATTTTTTACTTTGTCGGGTTGCGCTCGACTGGCTCTCGCACTCCCACTTGCTCGCTTTGGGTTTAAGTTAGTTTAAACTCTGCTGGCTGAGACGAGACCACCCTTCCATCCTTCCACCCTTCCGCCTTTACTTTTTCCCCATACGTGTTCTTCGTCTTGGTGTTCTGTTAACGAGGCCAATTAGGATTGGTAGTGTTCGAGAAAGCCCCCTTGCAGCCAGCTGTTTCTAATAAATTTCCGCTTAAATTGTTGCCCTAACAATGTTCACTTTCCGAAGCAGGTCTCTTTCCTTGGCCCGCTCTTTGCACCTCCCAGTCAACTTCGAGGTCGGTCGTCTTTCCTTCTTGGCCTCGTAATTAACAATTGAAAAACTTTTCCAGTTTCGATCCCACCCACACACTTACTCACAGGCAGGCACACATAAATATATCAAAAGTCTTTATTATTTTTTCTTGTTAATTTTTTATCGAATACTTTGCATTTCTTGCCCTGTCTCTTGCTTCGCTTTTTTGTTGTTGTTAAAAAAGTGTAAAAGTCAAACAACGCAGAAAGAGGAGGAAAACAATGAGGGCGCCGCCAAGTGATGAAAAGCTGACAAATCTGTTAATTAGCTTTGTTTGAGTGAGCCCTCCTCGACAGGAGGTGGAGATGGTGGTATGGGTGGTATGGGTGGTATGGGGATTTGGGTTAGTCATGGCCAACCAAGGCTTTATCCTTTGTCTGAGAACCTTCTCCTTCCCTTTTTTTTTGGTTTTTCGGTTTCTCGGTTGCGCCTGGCTGGATCTGCACTTAATCTTTAAGTGGTTGGCTGCCTTTTGCGGTGCATTAGTGTCTGGAAACACCATCCCCCAGCAGTCCCTCTCACCTGGGAAACTGGGGAAAACACCCAGAAAGATACAGAGTGTGGAAGAGAGAAGGAGCGGCTGGAAAACTAATCCGAACTCGTGTTACTTTACTGAATGAAATCAGAGCAAACGAGCAACTTGATTATTGTCTAGAGCTCCGTTACCTCCTGGATTTTTCCCACCATCACCACCTAGTTTTTGGGAGCTCTGACCCATTCATGTCTGCATGTTAATGAACTGCTTTTGGGGAGCTCTGATTAAAATACGTGGTCAACTTTTTGGACAGCCAATTGAGGACGCATTTAGTGAGTTGCGCTTAATTCGGTTTAGTAATTTATGGACAAAGGCGCTCCCCTTAACCGCCAGGAACGGAACCTCCCCCCTGACAGTTATCCTAAATCAGTGGCAAACAAAAGTGGAAGCGAACAAGAAACAAAAGATGGCAGAACAACAACAACAACAACAACAGAAACCGAAAAAGGGAAAAAGAAAGGAAGAGGGAAGAAGGGTGCCGGGCAGATAAAAGTCTTCATTCATTCATGTCGACAAAATTATTTCTTATTTAAATAAAAAGCAAGCACTGCCAGTAGGAAGGAGTGGGGTCTCGTCGGATCTCCGAGCTGCGAGTTCCCAGCTCCGAGATGATGCTACCCACTTAATATACCGCAAAGCCCGCACTTACGACGTCGCAGAATGAATAGCGGGGTATGTAAACATAAATTTTGCGAGCTCACTCCCGGGTCTGTTCCAACTCCGGCCCGGGTATGGACCCCCTTGGTATCCACGCCCACTGGCTCATTGTGTTATCATCAGCAGAATATTCTATGCATGCACAAATGTTGCCGTTGTCATTGAATCAAGTCGGAGGAGTGTGGAGTGCCAGGGTCTTCAAAAACTGGCAAAGTCGTGGGGGAAAATGGAGTGGGAAAAGGGGGAACTTGTTACTGGGTGACTGGTACTGGGATACACAGGGAAAATAATTACTAATTGAAGTCCTATATTTACTTTTGTAATCTTAAACAAAAAAGGGACCTCTTGGTCCTTTTTAATATTCATAACAATGTAACTAAGATCTCTAACTCTAAATGCATTTTAAAATATTTTAATTTCGTACAGTTTTCCTAGTGTACCTGATAACTCGTGAAGGAGAACGGGGGAATAACAGTAGAGTCCTGCTCATGGACTGCTGCCTGCCGCCCGATGAGTGACTTCCCAGCTTCCAGGCTGGTGCGCTGCTTCATTGTCTGCCGGGGCATGATGAAGCACCGCTCAGCCAGCCCATATATTTCATTGCGGAGAAAGAGAGAGTCAGTTCCCTCTGAGCTCCTCTATCCGTATGATTAGCGTTTTTGCCTTGGCCAGAACCCAGTGCAAAATAGGGGCCAACAGGGATTACATGGGGGATTTGGCAAACTATTTGGAACCCTATTAGCTCTGAAATTATGCATGTTGTATTCCCCCTGCAATGCCAAGCATTTCAAAGTGAATCTACTTGGTAAAGTCACATTATTCATTCTAGGTGTTATTTTGAGTAGAATTTCAGTTACCGCTTTAATTTATTTAGCTAATCATGAGAACCCTGATTTAATTTCTTTAACATTTCGTTTCGTCGTCTTTCGTGATTATTAAACGGTTTTGCTGTTTCCGCTCGACGGTAACCCTCATTTAATTCCCTTTGTGCCCTAGGTGATGGGCCTCAAGTCCAATTAGAAAATTCAATTTCAATTTGGATTTGTTTCTGCCATCGTTTGGGGGACACTAATCCAATTATGCAGTCAACCATTTCATTGTCGCCCAGTATAATTATGGCCAACAGCTATTGGCCAATATGAGGGACTCTCTCTGTGTGTGTGTGTGTGTGTGTGTGAGCGATTTCCTTTTACGTCATTTTTACCACGCTATTTCTAAATTTGAAAGAGCCTAATCATCTTTTATGCTCCGTTGAATGGGATACACACAGGGAACCACAGAGAGAAACATAGCCACCTCATCACCCTCACCTATTGAAAGTCGACATTTCTAATGACAGCCGAACCGCCACCCACTTGACCCTGACAAACCGAACGCGAAGAAAGGACCAAGTAGAAAAAAGCGGAGAACGAAGGAGAAAGAGGACTAGGAATTTCCCCAAAAAAAATGGGGCGCAGCCGTTACATGTCTCGCATCTACACACGCATACATAGAGATGAGGCTCATTTAAATAAAAGAAAATATTTTTGTCCTGCCGCTTCTGGTCCTTTTGAAGACATTCGAGCCAGGGCCAGGGTCAGGGGCAGCGTCGGGGGCCGGCGGCAGGGTAACTTGCGGCCAGCGCCGTCTTTTATTTCGTTTTGTTTTTTAGTGGCGGATATTTGAATATAAATGGCGCATTTAGTTAGACTCTATCAAGCACATTCCCATATATCTTTGGCAGCTTTCGGCTCGACCCCCCACCCCCCACCGGAGATTCCAAGTCCAAGTTCCAATTCGAGTCCAAAGTTGGCCTTTTATCATTCGATAGTTGCGGGTTTCGGAGGGGGGCGACCCGAACTCTCTGGCCGCCCGTGTCCTTATGCCTCTTTACCATTCCTCATCTGGCTTTAAAACATTCCATTTTATGTTGTAGTTTTGACAGAATGAGCAATAATCATGAATTTTGCTTAGACCATAAAAAGAAACTCCACTTCACTCCACTGAAACGGGGACCCTCCTGCCCAGACTTTACCCTGAACACATTAAATAAATGTTTCGCCTTCTTCCTTTCCTTGTGGCCTTCTTTGCTGCTCCCTTTTTCCGTCTTTACTTTTTGTTTCCCTTTTTTCGTTTTTGATAGGGTGACAGCTTTAAAAAGGACAAACGTTGCTCTGTTTTATTTTTGGCGGACAACGTTTTTTGGCCATTTTATTTAGTGACCTCTTTGGCCAGTCTCCTCCTCTTCGATCCTTTTGTTTGTCGGTCAAGATTAGGAGGCATTTGCGGTCACGTTATTGCCCACTGATTAGGACGGGGACAAAGGCAAGTTAACTGCCTCACACGTAGCCGCCTATAGCCCCTCCCCGGTGTTATCCCGTTCGCTTTTCCAGGTCCTAACGAGCTTTTCACTTCATTTTAGTTGCCTGCCTGCCCCCAGGGGGAAACTTGAGGCCTTCTTGCCCACGGGGCGGCTTCCTGCAATTCAATTTTGAGGCCAGGTGACGGCATACTTATGCAACGCACTGTCGTTCGTTCGTCCGGGTTCTTTGTCTTTCAGGCAGAACCCTTGCTCCTAATGCTCCTCCTTCCCAGCCTCGCGGCGGGAAAGTCCATTACAAAATTACGGCCTTCTCAAGAGTTGAGAGTGTGTGGCAATAAATACGGAATTAGAGAACGTTTGCTCCCATCATACCTTTTGTATTGTTTGCACTTCCAAAAGCAGGTGGGGGGTTGTGGTGATGAGATGGTATCCTCCCCGGAAAAGGGAATTGAAACCCAGAAATAAAACCCACTCGCAACTGCAGGCAGGAAAACACTTTGCGCCCCGTTCGGCTCAATGCACAACACTCACTAAAATTTAATAAATAAAAAATGATATATATATTGCTTTATAGCCTTGTTTCTCCCACTGTGTCTCCCTCAGTGTTCTCACTGTCCCTTGTCCGTGTGCGCTTTGTGGTTTTTGTTTGGCCGAAACATTTTGATGAAATATATTTTTTTACACATTCATTTCAAGTATATAAATTCCCATATTCCTCTATATGCGAATATTTGTGCACTCTGGCAGCGGTTCGTGTATATTTTCCTGCGTTTTTATAAATGAGCAGACCGCGCTGGCTGAGAGCGACAGGTAACAGACATTGATGGCAGCGTGAGGGAAGCGTTTCCGTTTGATATTAAAAAGGGGTAAGCATCAGAGTTTACAATGCAACGTTTGTTCATTGGAAAATCCAATAAAATATTTAATTTGTTGAAAAAATTTAGATGTGCTCAAATGTTTATATTTGTAAAGGAAAAAAGTTGTTATTAAATTGGATTTAAGTCTGGAAAAATTCATTTCGTATGAAAAACTAGCTAGAGCAGAGCTTGTAAAATGCGCTCAATCGTTTTAATCAATCGTTTTCTCTTGCAATGCAACCGAAAATAAAATCTTTAAAGAGTCTCACACTCGCTTTTGTTATGCCTTTTCACTCAATTGCATTCGGAGAAAGAAAATGTGGAACTTTCTGAGAGTGTAATTGCAAAGAAACTCATTTGTTATTGTTTTTGTTGCAAGAGAGCAGGTGAGAGAAATAGTACATTTATATACAAAATATCTCTTTGCAAAGCAAGTGGCTTAAAAAGAACGAAGTCTGCTCTTGGATCTTAACCGAGTTTGAATAGAAACGAACCAGACTGAGACGTTTCTTTGATTAAGTTTTCAATAGAGCTCGCGGGTAACCTTCACTTTGCGGACTTTTAGTGAAACGCCAAGTAAACTTTCGAGCTCTGATTATAATTAAACCTTAAGCAAATAAAAGCAAGTGTTATTTCAAACTTTAACCTTAAAAGATACGTTCATAAAGGACGAATTCACCTTGTCTCCCCCATATATCACTCATACGCCCCGTTAAGCGTTCATGCTAAATGTTTGCCAAAATCCAAACTTAGTGAAATACATTCACCAAGCATATATATATTAGCCATGACACATTTGATAATCTCTCTCAACTGGCCGCTCACGTTCCCATCCCCATTGAGCGAATCTCATGCACATATCGCTCATACGCCATGATGACGCATTATTTTTGTTTTGTTTTGCCCCACTCTGCCACTGGCCACTGGCCTTGCCTTTTGGCCAGGGCCGACGAAAGTCCCAAAAGCGGAATAGCCAAAAAAAATATATAGAATATTTGCCAACAGCTTCCCCCTAACGTATAGTAAATACAAATATTCGTTGGGTTAGACATTAGACATTAGACATTAGCCATTAGAGAAGCAAAAGGGGCGATAGTTTACAGCGCTTGTTGAGTCGATCCATCTGCGGAGGTTAATCGGGGTTAATCCAGTCGGGCATCGGGTTAGGTTCCATCACAGGAGCTGCTGAAGGTCGGATCGGATCGGACAACTTACCATTCTTGATGCTCGGCTCGCGTTTCAGGGACGCTTTGCGCAGGGTCTTGGTCGTGAACTCGGGCTTGGGCTCCTCCTTGGGCTCCTTGAGGAGCTCATCGATTTTGGGTACCTTCTTGAGAACGGGCCGGATTTTGGCCAGGTCGTCGGTGCTCTTGCTGGGCAGCGGCTTCTCCTCGCGCTTCACATGCCGCAGCTTGGGCTTCTCCAGCTTGAAGCGTCGTCGCCGCTCGCGATCCTCCTCGGTCTCACCCTCCTCGGCCTCGTCGTCGTCCTCGGTGGCCATTTTCTTCATCGACCTGTCCCGCTTGACAACCACGCTGCGCAGCTTGGGCTTTTCCATTGTGAAACGTTGGCTCAACTCACTTTCTGGCTCCGGCTTCTTGTTGACGGGGGTTGGACGCAGTTGGGCAGCCTTCCGAACGTGCTCGGGCACCTTCTCGTCGACGGTGGTGTCCTCCTCTTCGCTTTCCTCTTCAGACTCGCTCTCCTCCTCGCTTTCTTCTTCCTCTTCGGATTCGGTCTCTTCTTCGGTCTCTTCCTCCTCCTCTTCCTCGCTCTCCTCTTCCTCGGATGAGGATTCGGGTGGTGGTGTTGGCTCCTTTTTCTTCTTTAGCGCCGAGGTGGTGCCCAGTGGCTTCTTGGTCACAGCAGTGGGCGTTACCTTCTTAACGGGCTCGGGCGCTTTCTTGGTGCTTACGGGTTCGGGTGTCTTCTTGGTCGCCAGGGAAGATTTCTTGACGGGCTCAGCCACCTTCTTGGTTGGCTCGGGCGTCTTTTTGGCGGGTTCAGCCAACTTCTTGGCCGGTTCGGGCACCTTTTTGGTCGGTTCAGCGGTCGTCGTGGTGGTTTTCTTGGCCACTGTAGTTGCCTTTGGCTTGGTTGTTGTGGACTTTTCGCCATTTTCCTTGGTCGCCGGCGTGGCCTCGGCGTTCTTCTTGGCCCACGGCGTGGTGCTGGGCTTTGTGGTGCTGGCCGTGGCAGAGGCGCCGCCGTCATCCTTTACCCATGGCGGGCGGAATGTGGTGCGTCCGCCGGGTGCACTGCTTGCACTGCTCGTCCCCGTGCGGGGCGTCACAAAAGGCATCGCAACTTCTCGTGGGGACTTGTCCGGATGTCTCGCTGCTGCTTGCTATGTTTTTTTTTCTCCCTGGTGTTTATGGCTGTTTAATCCTCTAGGGGCCGATGTCGTCGCCCGTCTATTTGCACACTCTTTTTAAATAATTTGCCTTGGATTTTTTTTGGACGTTTTTCCTGCTGATGAAAACACAAAACTTTGCACATTAGCAGCCGCGTCGGGGGAGAGAGTCGCAAGTTGTCCGAAAAAGTTCTTTCATTCAGATTTTCCGTGTTTTTTCTAGATTTTTTTTTGTTTTTGCCCCGTCGAGTTCTATTTTACTTTTGATAATTCTTTTTTTACGCGTATTTTTGTTCGGTATAGATTTTATTTATTTTTGCTTTTTTTTTACTGCGCGAATTTTTGTTGCTGGGATTTTTATTCGTGGTCCGCTGTGGACGATGAGCAACAGCTGTTTGAGATATTTTCAATCCGATTCAATTCATTTCAATTCGTGTATATTTGGGTATGTTTCATTTTCAATGTTATTTTTAACTGAATGCGCTCATTAGCTTTGCTGGCTGTTGCCGCCGCTGCTGCCGAGAGACAGAATGTAGGCCTTTGTGTCATAGTCATGGACAGGGACATTCATGGATACGGGTATAGAGATTTAGGTGCAGGCAGTGGCCAGGGGGAGAAAGTGCGGTGGACGGGGACACGGGGCGAATGTATCAACAAATCCCAACTGAGAGGAATGCTTTTGCAAGTGCACGCAAAAACAGCAAACAGTTGGGGTCAGAAAAGTGGAAAAGTTGTGGAAAAATATTATTTTTAACTAATAATTTTTACAAAGTTTATGGTAGCAAAAATAGTCCTTTTTATACCTTTTCAGGGTTTTATAATTTCAGTCAGAAGTTGGTAAATTAGTGAAGGAGTTGTTTCCGACCCCAAAAAGCATATATATTCTTGAACAGCATTAACAGGCGAGTATTTCTAGCCATGTTGGAAGAAAATAAAAAAATTTCAATTTTTTTCAAAATTTGATAAGGGGTTACATCATTAAAATTTAAAAAAATTGCCAAAAATTTTGATTTCTTAAAAATTTTAATTTATAATGCACATTTGTTAAGCTATTAAAAACTAGCATAGAAAAGCTTTCCGAATTGAATTTGTTGCTTTTTTGGCTTAGTTATGATCGATTTTTGATTCGAAGCCATGATCCTATGACAAACAATACATATTTCGGCTTTCCTTTTTAATTTAATATTAATATTAATATTATTTGCCACAAGACTGAAAACTTCGACCTAAAGAATTGCCAAATCTCTTTGAGACAAATTAAATTCCTTCATAAATTCTCTAATAATTTCACTACCATTGTAAGGACCCCTATTCTCTTGACCACAACTATTCCTGCCTGCGAATATGTCCAGCTAAAATGTGTGTCCGTCCGCCGCTGCCTTCCGTCCGTACATATGCACTCCAATAAACAGCAACAACAACGACAACAAGAGGCGGCGCGGAGTGCATGGGAATAGAGCAACAATAACAAAAGCAGAAACGATTTGCTCTGCCACTGGCTGCGATATGTAAAAGGCGAAAATATTTAATTTTAGGTTCTTTGTGCCGCCGAGAGTCCAAAAAACAAAAAAAAAAAAGAAAAACCGAATGAGAGGGTGAGAGAGCGGAATCAAATCAAAAGAATAAAAGGAAACACATCTCTCTGGCGCTTTCTCGTCTTTAGCCAGATATATTTTCCTTTTTTTTTCCTCTCTTTTCCGTCCGCTTTGCTCTGCTTTTATTGTTGCTTTTGTTTTTATTCAACTGGCTCGTTTCACAAAGTAGACAGCAAAACGTACACAAAACTGGGGTGTATGGAGAAAATAAAAAAGAAAAGCCTCCTCCCCCCCACAAAAAAAGTACCAAAAAAAAGAGCGAACGCGAGGAGGCAGAATGAAATCCGAATTTGTTTCATTCCATTGCCATTTCCATGGCCGCCCCCACTGAAAAAGCCTCCCGACCCCGGTCCATGTCGTCGTCCATATTCATTTCAATTCCTCCCGTTCGGGGGGCCGATTGCAAATTTTTTGGCCAGAACGACGGAATACTTTCTCGGTCTTTCCTGCATCATGGAGGCGTTAATTAAACATGACATGCAAATAAAAATTATACTTAGGCAAACAGCAGAGCCTCCATGACGTGAATTTCTCAGTATATATAATATCTCTATGTAATTCAAAGGATATGTATGTATCCTGCTTTGAAATGGATCCATTTATAATTAATTTATGGATTTTAAAGCATTTCTGGCTTATCAGTTCTTTAGTAACTCGTAAACAAACAGTTGGCCCAAAGAGTTTTTAGTTTTTTAAGAAAACTTTGAAGGTCCCTAGCGAGACGGCAAAGGAATCATAAGAGAGCATCTTCCTTTTGCTTTTCTCTTTTCTCAATTTCTGTGGCAAACTTTATAATTCGATTTTAGGAAAGTTCTACTGTATATTCCAACATTGCACACAAAATGCGAGACAAAAAAGCTAAACAAAAAAATACAGAGTAGGAGATTCAGAAAAAATGAAATTTCAATTAAAATTGTTAACGAGAGACTCGAGCTAATTTGGCTCGAAAGTCGTGCGGAATTCGCGTTTCGAATGGCAAACAAAAAAGATATTGCTATCGCCAGGGCCGGCAGCATATTTCATCCTAAGATTGCCTGTCAACACAAGTGTTTAAAAATATCGCCCGGTGGCGATATTTCGGGAACAGCCATTCATAACGCCCCTCCAGAGAGATTTATTAGATCGATTGGCCGCGCCGGTGACAAGAGCTAAGCAAAGCTGCGCATTTCGCCATCCAAAATGTACACGAATTTTATTTATATATTTTGTGGATATTTCACGGTTTCTTTTTTCGATGTTTTTCAGATATTTTTCAGTTATTTTTCGGATTTCTTTTTTTTGTTGATTTTTATTATGTGTATTAATTGGTTCATTCGCTCGGTTTCGCTGCAGTTTGCTGCGTTGCACATCGTTCGCGTCGTTGTGTTGTCCTCTTTATATGTATACAACCTGTGTGTGTGTGTGTATTGGCTGGGTCAGACACCCGCAAACACCACACACTCACATTCACGGACACCCACATACACAGACACCCACACACACACACTCGCACTGACGTAGAGTACACCTTCAGCAGCGGAGGCAGCAGCGCCTATGACGGCGTTTCAAAAACTAAATTCATACATTTTCCAACAGCCAGGCGATGCCTGAAAAATTTCAAAATTTTCACACACACTCACTCTCGCTGCGCTCTTTTGGGATTTCTCTCTACATTATCTCTTTTAATTTTGTTTTTTTTTTTTTCGGCGAGAGCACAGCATAATGAAGTGAAATGAAAATTTTTTGTTGACCGACAGAGGAGAATATTTTTAGCATCATTTTCGGTTCTTCGGGCCGAGAGGGACGTTAGCGCGGCTTGGATTGACCTTATGGCAGGTGCAGTTCAATGGAATTATTAATAACCTGGCTATGTGGCCCACTTCAAGGATGCTGCTGCTTGGCCCCTCCCTTGCTCGTTAGTTGGCTCTTATCAGGCGCCTCCTCGCGGTGAATGGGCCACAATTACGCAAGTTTCTCTAGCGGCATGAACGTGGGCGTCGCAGCTAATTTCATTTGAAGACACAGGGAGAAGGTGGTTTGAAAAGTGAGTGAGGGGCTGCCTCTCTTACCCTGTGATAAAAACCACTCGTCTAGAAAGTCCAAACCCATTAGTGCTTCTGTTCAGCGTTTTGTCAGGTCCAAATGATTCTCTCCAATGATCTCCGCCTTCAATATTTACATTGTCTCCTAAGTGGCGGTCGCTCCTTCGATTCACTCAATTGTGGGTTGACATTTCTGGGGAGTGCTGCAATCGATCGATTATCGGTCGGTGCGTGGTTGTATTTATAGTCTTGGTTGTTGGCTAATCGATTGGACTAGGGCTAGGCTAGAGCTAATTTGTGCAGTTACGAACCAAAGAGATTTTTTTAAAGTTATGTAGACCTTAAACTAACAAGGGTTCGGTTAATTGTATTAAGGGTTCCAAGTTTTATATTTACTCTTAATTAGTGTATACAGTTTCAGACATTTGCATTAGTTGGAAGTCGAAATATTTACATTTAAAATGTGACGTCTATGGGATAGAAATTTAGTATTTTCGGAATTTTATATCTGTGTATTTCTCAACCAAGATCATCTTTCCACGCCAGTAGTTCGATTAATCTTTTATAGCCTCCAATTTGTGTACTCACTCTAAATTAGTATATAAAGTTTCAGACAAATAGTTTAGTTTAAAAACAAAATACAACCAATTAAAAAATGCCTTTCTATATGGTAAACATTTGCTTGCAAAATCATTGCAATAACTGAGGGCAATTATGTAGTGAAAAAGTGTAATTAAAGCGCATGTCGAATGTCAGCACCACCAATATTTATTTAACTTGCAACGATTTTACCATCAAACGGACATTTTTTCCGGTTTCCTTTTAAAGCGCTCCCTAAAAGCATGCAATGGCCTATTTTTTCAACTGTCAAAGTCAGCCAAAAAGTATGCCAAATTAAATTGCCAAAAAATCTGCATGCCCACGCAGTTTGAAAATTCCCCATCGGCAGTCAATAGAACATTTTTATTCAAGCTCTTCAATAATAAGCACTATAAAAATATTAATTATATATATGTTTATGTTATATTTTCTATAAAAAGCTGCTTTTTTCACATCAAAAAAACATATGTTTGGGGACTTTAAAAAATCCGCTTAAAGGCGATTGGGTTTTGGTTGGCAGTTGGTATATGCGACTTCCCCCCGGGGGCCTTCAATAATTCAGAGAATGGAATCTAGAATTTTTTGCTATTTTTTTTCTATGGGGTGGCAGAAACCCCCCCGCGGAGTGGGGCTGCCAAAATGTTCGGAAAACCTTTCGTTTTGCGGGTTCGCCGACATTTTCATTGGCGCGCGTGCCGGAGCAAAAACTTGCGCGCCATCGAAATCGAATTTGACACAAATTAATTGCTATTTGATTTGACAAGTGCGAACGGCGTGAGGGGGGAAGTGCGGGGGAGTCGGTGGATACAAAGAGCAACTTGCGTGGGTTATGCTTAAGTGTTATCATCTAGAAATTGCTTTATTTGTGAAATGTTCGAAGAGACATCTAATGAATACTGAATGAACTCCTTGGCGTTGTGCGGGGAGCCGAGCTCGTTGTGGCTTCTCTTAAACTGCGTTTGTCCCGGCCCCAGGGCTAGACCTTGTGCACAGCAGCTGGCGGGGATTGGGCTGGCACTTGGGGTGGCGCCTGCGGTGCGGCTGGGGGCGGCGCCGGCTGAGCGTGTGCGTGGGGTTCAACTGGTGTGGGCGTGCTGGTGCCCTCGGTGGTGTTCAGGTAGGTGAAGTGTGGCCAGGTGGAGATCTCGGCAAACAGCCTGCCGCCGGGACACTCGGTGTCACGCACCTGCTTATGGCCCAGCAGCTTATAAGCGGGATCGATGTAGCCCTTAAACACGCCAAAGGCGATCAGGTTTTTGGCAGCATCCAACATTTGTTTGGGGGAAGTTCCGCTGAAAATTAAAGAAGAAAAATTCAATATTATATTTGGGAAAAATATTTAGGATATTTTTAAACTTAGTGGAAACTCCACTTACTTCTCCAATCTCCAATGAGCACAATGCCCACGCTCCTGTCATTGTACTTGGGAGCATGTGCTCCAATCACGTTAAAGCCGCGACCCGTGTAGATCATGCCATCGCCGCCGATGCCAAAGCTATAGCCAATATCGTTCCAGCCACGCTCCAGTTGATGGAAATCCTGCATATCCCGCATGCTCTTCATGCAATCCACGGTGGTATAGCACACGGGCGGCATGTAGGAGTGATGGATAATCACATAAGGAGCAGGTCCCTGGAAGTGCTCCACTGATTTGGGCAGGCGGGCGCCCCAGTCGGAGCGGGAAATAAGGCGGGCAGTGGCCACGCCATCGCCCAGATTTGCCTGCTGCATGTGTTGGCTATAGCCTGTAGGTGAAAATATATAGGAGTTTTTTGTTAAGTAAAGTTTCTGCGTATAAAAATATATTTTCTTCTTAAAAATAAATTCTGGGAATTAAAAAAAATCCCCTAATCAATATTACTAACATAAATATTTCAAAAATAAGCAATAACATCGCTGTCACGTCATCAAGCCTTAAGCTATATTAAATCAATAATTTTATTGCTCAATTTATTACTTGTTTTTTGTCTTCCTTTCTTTTTATTAAATTCCTTTCAATTTCTGGACTGCAGCCCACGTTAAAAATGTTGTTTTCTTTTTTGTTAAATTTAGCTCAGAGCATTAACTTGTTTACATTCGTAATCTGGTGTCTTGTGCCCTTGACTTTTATTTGGTGAAAACAAGTTGAATTTTTGGCTTTCGCCAAAAGGGAAGAAGATTCGTTATATATTTCATATTTCTGACACAAAAACATTTTCAAGACAGCCAACGTTTGTTGGCCTTAATTGCAAAAGTGAGGGAGGGAGGCGGTCTCGGTTGCGGGTGCGTATACGTGATGTGTGTAATAGGTGGGCGAAGTGCGGTCTGCGGTGCTGCTACCGTACATTTCTCACATTCCACTGATAAATGATAGCCGGATTCCCCAACGCGGAGGCGTCTGTCTGCGGATGTCTGCTGCGGTAACTGCGGTCCGGCCGAGCCACGATTTCGCACTGACTCTGCCTGGCTGACTCCCCGCCGATCCCACTGAAAATCCCCCGTTACCAGTGAGAGCGCGAGCTACGTAAAAAACAAGTCGCCGATCGGCTCCGATTGGCAAATCGCGATCGTCATCAGTCTGTTGAGCTGAGCGGGAATTAAATATGCTAAACTAGTGACTGCTAGGTGATTTTTATTTGATTTTGGATGAGAAAAGGTGCCAGTAGGGCATATTAGTTGGTTATACCATTTTAAAAATTGCGAATAAAACGTTGAATTTTTAAAGAGTTTGAAGCTATTTGAAGAATAAATAAATGCTTGATCCCATTTTCAGAAATAACAAACACACATTTACCTATGAAAACAACACAAAATTCCAAAATTCCTCCATCAACCATTACGTTTTTCCTCTATCGAAAATGATTATAAAGTAAATATTTGTCTCAAACTTCAGAAAAAAATTTGCTGTATTTTTATGGCGCAATATTTTTCCATGCTTTTGTGGCAAAAGTAAATATTTAGATTGGCCCACGAAACACAACAAAAAAATCCATTCGATGTGCTGGAAAATTCGCTGGCAGATTATCCGAAGATAAAAAGTATCTATTTCAGGGCAGGTCATTCCCGATTCGTTCAGCTTCGGCGCTCCATCAGCGTGAGTCAGCTTAAAGCCGTCAATGCGAAATGTTTGAAAGCCAAAAGCCACATAGCAGCAGCAGCGGCGGAAGCCGAGAGCAACAGGTGCTGCGGGTTTGGTATCATCTATCAATGGCGTGAACGTTTGGCCGTTGACACTGCCACGGCACCCCCCCCCTTGGGAGAAAAAAGGCCGGAGCTCAGTTCCGTTTGGCCCTGGTTCCTCGGCCCTGAGTCATAAATGCAAATTCAGACTCCAATTCGACTTGAAAACTATATTATTTCATTCAAATTTGCTTTATGTGTGCCGAAGGAGTGGATGAGGTTTGCCCATGTTTGCCCGGCTGTCTGCCAAAAACTTCGGCACTACGCCCACTCTGGAAGTACGCCCCCCGGCATTTATATGCATACGGAAAACTTAGCCAGAGAAAATGGCTGAAAAGGAAGAGCGAGAAAACGGGCGAAGGCGGAAACAGGAGACGCGGCACTTGACTAAGTTAATAGCGGCAGTTTCTAATTAAAATTTACGGAGAGCGAAAGTTGCGTGGGCAGACAGACGGGGTGGAAATAATATAACATCCTAATTTGCACACTTCCGGTTTTGGTAAGGCAGCTTAAAATAGTTTTTACTTTAATTTTGGGTATGAAATAAAGAGGGTTAAAGATTTTGTGAAAACGAAATTGTGGCTCTTAACGCTTCCTGTAAATACTAAATATTTTTTTAGTTAAATAATTGACAGATTTTCCATTTTTTAAGCAACATTTTCTTTCCTTTTTATGGTAAATTTTAATATTTTTAAATCCTTTAAAGTAGTCTCTGAAAACTATTATTTTGCCAGCTACTGTTGACTGCTCTTGCCGAGTGTTGCGCCTCTGCTGTTTGGCACCTATCGTGGATCCAGAATCCTGGACTTCATCGACGGCGCGTGCTTGAATAATAAACAGAGCAGGAAGCACGAAGCAAGAGCAGAAGCAGAAGCAAGTACAGGAGCAAGAACAGGAGCAGCAGCCGGTGCAGGATGTGAGGGGACTGCCAAATCGTTGGCTGTTTAATTTATGCCGCTTACTTTTTAGTGTGTGTGTAACATGTTAATTACATTTATATTTACAGCAAAGCTCGGGGAGCTTCGATAGCTCCGAGAGAGCTCTACCCAGCCACGCCCCACTACCCTAATTGTTACCCTAATTACGCGGCCTAATAAAGTAAACATTAAAACTCGTTGGCCTAATCAATGTTGCAAACTTTGTGGCCCCCACTGCCACACACACACGGCCCAAATATTCACACGCTCCTCTATCGCAATGTCGGGCGAGGGCGATAGTTCAGGTGACGGCAGGGGTAAATCACCTAATCTCTTACACCCACACACACACTCAGCTTTGCAAAAAGCAATTTCGTAGGCATTTGGCGTAAAGTTCTTTGATAATTTTCGATTAATCCTGGGCTGCTCCGTTGATTAAATTCTCACATAATTGAAGTATTTAAATTACCAGCGAGTAATTAGAGTGGCAGGCATGCACACACACACACACACACTCACCGAGCGTTTGGAGTGGTCCCTTAGGTAATTGTTTGTTTTTAATCAGGCAAAGCACATAATAGAGACATTTCAATATTATTATGTTGACGATGCTGAAGAGTGGCCCGTCGGTCGTCACTCGTCAGTCGTCTGCCCATTAAACAAATATCCATCCGTGCATTGTTTCAGGGGGGGAATGTGCGAAATTAAGTCACGCTCGATTACAACAAAAATTAAAAAAGCAACAGGCAAAAAACGAACGATACCCGGTACAACGGAAAACAAAAAAAAAAGTACCCGGAGCAAACAAACAGCAAAAAAAAGAACACAGTAAAATCAACAAAAAAGAACAAAAATGCTGAATAAAAAAGAAAGCGAGCAATTATAGGCTTAAGTACCGACTATTGAATTCCCTTTTTCTGCAGGCTTTTATGGTAATCAATTTCGAAACAAATGTTGATACAAATCTATTATTCATAGCCTTATTTTAGGTGTAGATATGGGTTCTATAGATAGACTTTTGGTTCAGTGAACTTATATTTCACTTTAGTAAAGATTTGGGAGCGGTTTTACTTTACTCTTTGCTTATGAGCTTTTGCTGATAATACTTTTATAATTTGCGACAGGAATTTATGGTTAAAAACACACAAAAGATTTTTTCTAAAGTAACATGTTCCTCGTCCTATCAAACCTAACGCACTTGGGAATTTTAAGGTACATTTTCAAATTAAAAATCTAAAAGTTATACAACATTTTTATAGTAAACAAATATTACCCAATGCTATATTAACTATGAAATTATGTTAAAAAAATATGCTAACCTCTTCTCTCAAGATAAAACTTTCCATTAATAAACAATTTCATTCATATTTTTCTCCTCCTAAAAAAAAAATATGACTTTATCTACGTTTTGTAAGAATTCTCGTAAAGCAAGTTCTCTTGATAAGAGACCCAGTGCCTCAGTTAGGGTGCCGGAATTATTATGAATATTAAAATCAAAAACAATTTCACTCGCCCGCTGGCTGTCAGGCCGTAAATGACAATTTTGTTAAATGTCAGTAATTAATTGAAACAAAAAATCACATATCTTGACAGCGTGCAAATTATGCATATATTATACGTCAGCTATCAGTGCTCGGTGCATATATCGATATATTAAATATGTATATAACAGCTGTCAGGGCTCAGCGGACACTGATTGCAGGTGGACGGACGGGCGAGCAGAAATTGTAGAGGAGCAGGTGTGATATCTTCTCCAATTTGGCAGACTCGATAAGGAAAGCCTCTCGAGCACACGACACTTACCCATCATTGATAGCAGAACTAATCCCAATGCTGTCATGTTGCTTTTTCTGGAGTTTCTTGTTGCTTGTAGCTTGTTGCTTCTGCTTTCTGCTGACGCGATTGTTTTGTTGTCTAGTTTCAGCTACTTAGGAACTTGTGTGTGCGCACAAAATGTGACTTTGATTTAGGAACTTTTGTGTCAATTGCTGCTTGCTGTTAGTTGATACTTGTTGTTTGTTCTGTTTGCTGCTCTTAGTCTTTAGTTTGTGGTTTGTTGTTTTTTTTTTGTGCAGCTTCAAGAATTGTGCAAAAATTTTCGACGGTGTGTGAAGGTCAGACTTTGGTTCGCAGCGCTCACATAGCGGCTCTATGCTTCGTATCACAAGCGCGAATGTTGGCCAGCATAAGGGCGGGCCAGTGTTTATAGAAAAATCCAAACTAAAATTCGCACCAACGCTGCTGCGACTGCTGCTGCCGTTGCTGCTTCTGTCGCTGCCTCAGCTTTAGCTACTGCCGTCGCCGCCGCCGCAATGCCAAACAAATCGTTAATCGCATGAAACTTATTGGCACTTCACGCTCTCGGCTCGCTCTTTTAATATTCATTTCCGCTCTGCGAGCGAGCTTTTTACCGCCTCTGCTGCGGTCGGCTTTGTTGTTGCTGCCGCTGTTACCGCCGCTGCTTCGGCCAACGCTGCTGCTCCTGATAAAGCTGTGTTATCAGCGCCTTAAGGGGGATCGCCAAGCTACGCGAAGTTCCAGCTAAGGTCATGCTGCGGTCTTTGGGGAAATTCAATATGGTAATTGGTCATGGCGCGGTGAATTACATTCATTGGCCCCTATAATCCGCATTTCACCTCTTTGGTTCGGTTCGGTTCGAATCGGCGGTACTTTTTCCAATCCGAAGGGTTCTTTTTTCGAGCACCGACATTACGAGGGTCTACGCTGCACGTGTCAGCGTGAATCGGCAGTTCGTCGTTTGGATATGGCTGCACGGAGAGAAAAATGCAGCCCGTTTTAACCAAAACTTTTCAAAAATAATATTTTATCTTTATAAAACTGGGCCCTTGTATATAGGTTTGAAATTATAGCTAGAAAACATAAGAATTCCAAAGGAATTCCCAAACTAAAGGTTTTCATTTTCGAAAGATGGAAGTAGGAATGTTTATGGAAAGGAAAATTGCGATATTATATATATTCTACAACCATTCCGATTAGGTTCTATCATACTTAATATGTGTTTTTTGACCAACTTAAATTACCTTCTCTTAAACCGAAATAATTCTGTCTTTCCATACCTCTTAAAATAGTCAAAAAACACAACTTTTAACATTCAATTTAGCCTGAGCGTGTTTTGTAGATAATTTTAATGACTTTTGTTCATATTTATTGCAGTGCACGAAATGACTATACTTTAACCTATCACTCTGATATACAATTAAGGTTAATCATCGAACAAAATCGCTGCCTAGGCTATAGGGCAGAATTCACGCCTCGTGTTTTTCGCAATCACAACTTCCGACGGGGGCGAGAGTTACTAACAATTATAACAGTTATAGTTTATGACGATCTGACGACCTTGATGCGGATCGCTGATCACTGGGATTGGTAGCACTCTCACTCCACCTCGAGTAGTTCAATATCGGTCAGTCCTGAAGGTCGTCGCTGATAAGGGCTCTTTCTATCGGGGCCCATAAATCAGCCGAGGGGGAACTTTTTTTGTTGACAATCTCTTCAAACAATAGTTGTGCAAATAATAATTGCTTGTGGGAAAGTCCGTGATCACTCAGCTGCAGATAGTTTTCAGTTGGGAGTTTGAGCTGATTTGTATCTTTAATACTCTATCAATATGTCAATATGTCTTTGAAGATTTATTAGGTTGACGGTTTCATCTCAACATTTCGTGGAAAGATAGTTTTTGGAAAAAATCCCTTTCCAACGATGACTCATATGTTGTTGAATAGCACTATTAAAGATGGTAAAGAAGCTATGTTTTACGAGTGTTTTTTTTTATATTTAGGTGACAGTATTATGTTTTTTAGATATTTTTTAAGCTGTTAAAATTGTGTAAATCTTGAGGGATGATTAATTCGAATAGTTGTCATATTTTTCTCTAAGACAAACCGGGAAGAAATGTGTTAAGTTATCTTTTTTTATGATAAATCCATTTTAACCTTTTCCTTTAAATTTTCTCATTCAAAACCATTTCTTCTTGAAGGTTCTAAAAAGGTTTTTATCTCCCTTTACTGAAGACTTTTATTTACAAACACTTTAAGTGCCTCCTAATCTATTATTTTCATATGGTAGAACTTATTAAATTATCTATTTCCTTATCAAATTTAAATGGTTAGGTGTGCACTTTGATTCCTGGTATCATTCCTTGGCCACAATCGCTAGTTCTTCAGATTTCAGTGACTTGGTAACTGTGACAGCATCTCTGCCCCTGGTTGTTCTCTGTGTCATCTGCTTTCTTTAACCACCGCCACCGGACATACTTTTTTTCTTTGTATTTGTGTGTTTTAAATTTTTTGTATTTTTTTTTTTTTTTTTTTTGGGCCGGGGATGCCCCTCGGTGTGATCATTTGGGTTTTGGGGGAAGCCCGCTGCAAATACGGGTATTAAATGGCTTTAGTCGGTGTGCCGAGATCGGATGGGTAGACAAATTAACAGCATTTTATTTTCCGTCGTCGATTTATGGCCAACAAACACATTCCATCTTCATCTCGATCTTAATCTAAATTTGTTTTTTTTTTTCTTCTTTTTTTTTAAAGCTATGCGATAGAGCGTGCACACAGTGGTTTTTCGGGTCGGTTTGAAAATTTTAGGGGGAGCACCGCACACCGCCAGATGCGTTCTGCTGGCGCCGCCCCAGCCAAAGGAAGTCCAAATCACCAGTCTCATTTTCTCTCGCTTTGTACCTGGGGCTGCTTTATTTTATTTGCTGTTTATACTTGCGGCAAGGTAAACACGCAGACCACACGCCACCCCACGCTACCCCGAACTTAATATTTATTACACTTCAAAAAGGGGAAATTTCTCGAACGCTCTTGGAAATTGTTGAATTGTTTTAACAGCAAAATAGTTGTGGCTTAAGTTGCGTACTTACCACAACTCGTGGCCAGCTGTTGTTGCTGCCAGAACTGCTCGTAGGAGTCCGTGAGTGGTGGCGGCGGTGGTTGGTGTTGTGTGACGGATCCAGACGCCTTGTCGCCCATGTTGCGTGCCAATGTCTTTGACGCCAACTGAACTAAAGACCATTGAGTCGATTCGAAGAGAACTCGAACCCGGCTATTTGGGACTCCGGCCCCTGTGTCAACAAGTGCCTTTGATTAGGTCTTGTAATCTCGAGTTGCTCTTCCTTTTCGCGGGGTTATAAGAGCTCCCTCAGAAAGGGGACACATAATCCTCCTGGCTGTGAATAAAATAATAATAATTGCCACGCAAACTCTTATTTTAAGTGCAAAACACTCGTTCTGGCCCATTGTTCGGGCATAAACGTAATTTTTATGCCTCTCGATATAACACTGTAATAATTTAAGATATGTTTACGACCACAGGTGTGCGGTTAAGATAACCACACGGCAAAGAATTTTAGATAATTTTTGGGCGGGATAAATTGCTCGTGGTTTTCATTAAAATGTGTGTCTTTAACAGGATTTCCTTATAAGTGAAACATTTGGAGGATTTAAGGGTGAATTTAAATTAAATAGAGATATTTAGAAAAAACTTAAGTGAACGTTAAATGAGGCTAGTATTGGATATATTGATTTCAGTTATAAATACCATACGCTTAAAAAATATTTTTGAAGTAAATCATAGCTCTAACACCTAGCTTAATTCAAGAGTTTCCTCTGAGGATTATCTGACGACATTTAGCCAGCTTAGAGCCTATTGTTAGGGCATTCCCCGATCGACTTGCTGGAGGTAACAATACTGACCATTGTGCTCATAATTTACCCTTCGACGGCTGGCTTCCCACTAATCGCACATCTTATCAGGGTATTAAGTGCGCCGCACACTAACTACGCCTTGGCACGCTCTCCCGATGAAAAATGCTGAGGGAGAACAACAAAAAAATCACGCAAAATCAGAGGCAAAATCACAGGCATTCTTTTATTCGCCTCCGAATCGGCGGACGGGGTATTCACCAAGGTAAACATTATCGAGCCAGAAGCTTTACACTCTCTGGCACATTAGATAAATAAACGAGTGTCTCTGCGGCTGGCGGCTCTGTGTGTATATTACAATTAACAAAAGTAATTGCAATCGCTGGGGGAAGCCCCGTAGGTCGTGCCGGGCCAGGCGAGGCCTCAATGAAAACTCTTTGATGGCTGAGCCATGCAAGAGTCAATCTACAGCTACACAGCGAACAAACAGTGGATATTTGACATATCTTCACATCAATATATCATTTCATTTCCGCTATCAAAATAATCTTAATCGTAATGAATTGGTCGCACCAAATCGAATAAATATCAGATAGCATTTAATTTATTGATACGAAGCCAAGGGCCCCTCCGGTTTGAATGTCTGACGAAAGAAATTTAAGTGCTGGTGATAGGTTTCGAGGGGGTTTTTCTTTAATTTAAATTTTTCAAATCGAACATTGAACGAATCGCAGGAAAAGCAGGGTATTCACCCTGGACAAGTGATCAATAATAAACAAATTAATTAGGCTTTGACCCCGAAATGAGAAAGGTACTAAAAGGGGAATTACTGGAAGAATGTTTACATTTATAGTAATTTAATATATTATACATACTTTCTTACTTTTACTTATTATAAATTGGCAAATAAAAATAAACAGCTTTAATTTTATGGAATATCCTTATTTGGAATGGTACAAAATGTTGCAGTAAGGATATTGAAATCATAAATAAATACAAAAATTCAATGTACTGCTTTTTATACCCTTGCTAAAAGGTTTTTTAATTTTACTCAGTGAAGAAATCATTTGCGACCCTATAAAGCATATATATTCTTGATCAGCATCAACAGCCGAGTCTGTTGAGCCATGTCAGAGCAAAATTTTTTTTTTCAATTTTTTCTAAAATTTTATAAGGGGTTACATCATTAAAATTGTCAAAAATTGTTCAAAATTTAAATTTTTTAAGATCTTAAATAAAGTATGCAGCTTTGTTAACCAAACGAAAACAAACATAAAAAAGCTTTCCGAATGAAATTTACTGTTTTTTTTGACTAAGTTATGGGTTTTTTAAGATTTGATTTGTCCAATAAATTAGTATATAAAATATAGATAAATATTGATCAAACAAATGGAAATATTTTAGGCCTTTTTGAGGGCATAAAATGCCATAAGTACGAGTATCTTCAAATTTATAAATAAAATGCGAATTAATTAATAATAAATAATAGAGAAAAAGTTCTATCCATCGCCGATATTGTAAACAAAAAAATGTAATATATTTAAAATTCAGTCTACAGATTTAACCTTATTAAAATCAACACAGAAAATGTGTTGAATAACGAATTGAAATGTATGCATTTTTGGCTTTGTTATGATTATTTTCCATTGCAAAAGTTTTCTTTCTTTTATGTTTTTAAATTCGAATTCTTTTCTGGTATATTTTATATTTTAGGAGAAATTAATAGGTTTACATTTTTCTTCCCTGTGCATACACATTTAGATGTATGCCAACACCCCCAATTGAAGTCTTTGGCAAAGCGAACAATTCATCAGATGTCGCCATATCATTGTCTGTGCTGATTAGTTACGCCTTGCTGGTTGGCAGGAAAATTCACCCATCAAGGGTGCTGCTGGCTCATCGGGTGTGGGGAGTGGGGCCACCAGTTGGGGGGCAGGACAGACTGGTATCCTTGTAGCGGCACGCACATGCCATATATTAGGGCGCATAAAATGACAAACGACTCGCGAGGCGCGTAAATTGAAAACGCGCTGAGCCTGTGCGAGATTGCCTGCGGAGGGGAATTGGTCGCTGGCAGGATAACAGGATGGCAACGTGGGGATACCAGGGAGGGGGGTACATGGATTTCGGCGACTTTTTGGCTGTTTGTTATTGCTGCCAGCGAGCTGTCTCACTCCGAAAGAGAGAGAGAGAGCTCGCTGGCTGTCGGCCAAAACTTTGCCAAAGTATTCAAATTAAAATTTCAATTAAGGAAGTGAATTTGTGTGTGCCGAAAGTGTATTAAGTCTATATAGCGGTGGCATCTTGGCATTTCACTGCTGCTGCTGCTGCTGCTGCCGTATTCCACGTGTGCCACGCCCACGCCAAAGCCCGCAGCAGCCCCCACAAAACCGAACCAAACTGAACTGAACATAACAGATCCCGCCTCTCAGTGGCATCGTCGCCTGTTGTTTGATTTATTGCCAAAGTTTGTCGTCTGTCATATGACATAAGGAGTACTTTGTTGGAATATTTTACATTTCATTCCCACACTCCCCTCCGGAAACCTCCGCCCCTGCAGAGCCAACTGCCACGCACCTTGCTCGCATTTTCCATTGAATTTGCAATGAGACCCAAAGAGGCTTTGATCGGGGGCCTCTGGTGGGCATTATTAATAATGCAATCAATTTGTAAACAATTTGGCATATATCAATGCGCTTCGTGCTGGCCATAAATCTTTGGGAAATTAGCTCAGTAGGTCCTTCTGCTCCTGTTTGGGTTTCTGCACTTTAAAATATTAAAATATAGTTTATTTTTTATTCACAAAATAAAAAAAGTTAAGTGGAGTTAAGGGAAAAGTTTATAGATCTTGAACATGAGGTTTAATCTTTAGTAGCTTATGGGGAATCACACTATATACGTTATCTTTAAGCCTTTATCCAAATTGTAACCCAAGTTCTGCCAACTTTTAAATTGAACAATGATTTAAGAGCTTTCCATAAATTGTTCCACTAAAAAATCTGGCTGAAAGTAGCCGCCAAAATGATTGTTTTCCTTTTTTCCTAGTGTGGTCATTTGCATCCCAACTCCTCTAACAATCTGCTGGCCTGCCTGCCTGCCTGGCCTGTTTGATGGATTGGCGGCTGGTTCTGGCCTGGAAATATTCCGGGAGCAGGGCCACGGCTACTCCATAGTGTGGACAGGGGCCTGTTCCGGCAGATTTTGGCCATATTTCTGCGTTTTTGGCTGCTCGACTGGCTGCCGTTGCTGCCGCTGCCATTTCTGCTTCAGCTGGTGCTGGCGCTGCTTTGGCAGTTAGTGACAGCTGCGGTGATGGCTGGCTGCAGTTTTGGGTAGGGAAAAGCGGGGGGAAAAACCCAAAATGAAGCGCCGGGGAAACCATAACGCTTGTCCGGTCGCCAGCCATGCATTCACTGGCTAAAAGCGGGATGAACAGGGAGCTAGCCTTTGACTGGCCAAGAGAATAGAATTCGTTGGTGATATTTGCCCAGAATTTCGAATTTCCAGTGGTCGGTCCGAGTAGGCAGCACAAAAGACAGGCAGACACACACAGCAGTCGTCAGAAAAAGGGAAACACTACGTACAGTAAACTTTCAGCTCTCGGTTTTCCCCCTGTATCTCCGGAGCGGAATATATCTGCTTTCACCGAGGTAAGTCTCCTGGCCCGGTTCAGAGTTGAACATCCTGGCGAGCTAATTGAACGAAGTTGCTCCATGAAGTGTGTGTGTCCAGCTGAGATTCTTTCCTTGTCGAAGAGAAATTGCTTCCTTTTCATTTTTTTTTTTATTTCCCTTCCTATTCCTTGGCTCGCCTTGGCCCCAATTTAAAAGTTTATGAACTTGTCTGCCAACTGGCGCCTCCAACCCAGCCTCTCACCCATCTTTCTCTCTCTTCTTCTTTTGTGTTTTGGCAGGAGGATGTCGGGGCGACTCAACCAGCAGCACGCGGCGTATGCGCAACGCATGGAGCAGGAGAACAACCGAGTGCAGGCCACCCAGGCGTTGAACAGCTACTACAGCCACTGGGGCAAGGTAACGTCCCGCTTCGAGAACTGGACCAACAAAGAGTACTACGAGAAGGCTGACCAAAAGCTGCAGTCCAGCCGCGAGCAGAAGGAGAAGCAGACGGCCCTCAGTGACCGACAGTCGAGGCTTCGCCAGCTCTTGGCGCTTGAGAACGAGGGTTACGATACCGAGATGCAGCGGCGACGCAGGCCCCGCGAGCCGGGCGGCGGGGACCTCCAGATGCTGGACAGGGTCAACCAGTCGCTGAAGGAGCAGGAGCAGCTGCGTCGCAAGCTGGAGATGGAGGCCAAGCTCTACGGCCGCTGGCGACATGGCGTCGACGACGAGAAGCTGCTCTACCAGTCTAAGTCGGACCACGAGGTGCTGGCCAAGCTCAACTGGCTGGATCGCCAGATCGAGAATCAGCAGCAGCGCGAGGAGCAGCAGGCCCTGGCCGCCGAACGTCAGTTGCAGCTTCAGCAGGAGATTAACCGCACGGAGCAAGCGCAGAAGGAGCGTCAGCAGATTCGCGAGCAGCAGCTGCGTGAGCTCCGTGCCCTCCAGGAGTCGCACATGTCGGAGTTGAGACTGCGCCAGCAGGAGGCCGAAAAGCTGAAAGAGGAGGAGCAGCAATTCCGGGTGTTCCTGGGTGAGCTGGACAAGGAGAAGGAGCTGCTGGAGGAGAGCACGGCCCTGGTTCTCCGCCGTGCCGATGCGGGGCATGCCTTCAACCTGAAGAAGATCAAGGTCTATATCCGCCAGCGCAGTGAGGCCAGTCGCAAGCAGATCTCTCTGTGCATCAATCTGCTGCAGCGCATGGCCAATTATGTGGTCAAGGCGGAGGAGTTGCAGACTCTCCTCGCCAAATATCGCTCGGATCTGGAAAGCGAGGAGCTGGCCTGCACCCAAATCGAGACCATGTATGAGTCGGAGGCAAAGTACAATCTGCAGCGCTGCGAGGAGACTTGGCGGGAGCAGCACTTGCAGCGCTACGCGGAGCTCAGCAAGCTCATCGAGCAGGAGAAAGTTGCCATGGGGGGACTGCTTCAGGAGAACGTCTCACAGCAACAGGCGGTGGTGGAGCTGAGGACTCAGCATCTCACCGGGATTGAGCAGGCCAACAAGCAGCTGGAGCAGTTCAACGAAGAGCAGCCTGAGATACCGGCTCCCTCTGTAGCCGATCTCAAGGAGACGGAATCTCAGTCAGCCATTTCGGAGGAGGATGCCCTGCCCAAGGTGAGCAACTCGTTTTCCAACCTCAACCTGGACGTGTGGCAGGATATGCCACCAACTCGCAGCGAAATCGATTCTCAACGCCTAACGAAGACTCGATCCCTGAATGTGGTCACCGCGGAGACGGCGGCTCCACCCAAGTTTGCTCGAAAGCGAGTGGCCTGGACTTAACGGAGGTTCAAGGCTCACACATTGCCATCGTTCCAGCTTAAATTTTGATAGTATTACTAGACCTAGTGCTAAGTTAAAGTCAGTTTAGTCATAGTTGGACCCTTGTAAACCCACTATAACCACTCCACGTGCTAGCCACTCCACTACACTTCACCACACTCCACTTCAGCCCACTTCATCCTCCCACTCCACCCCTACGAGACCTCTTTCCCACACTCCAGCGAACACCACTCTGTGCACTTGTAGTTGATAAGGCTGATAGATAGGCGCGCGCCTCTCGATAAGGGGGCGGGGTCGGGCAATAAATCACTCAATTTGTGGGCCAGCAGGAAGTAAGTCTTTAATTATTGTCCAGGGCAAGGCAGGGCAAAGGAATAACTTTTATGATTCCAAAGAGTGCCTTATAAACTGCTATTGCATTGGATTTGACGGATTTATTATAATAAATATTAATAAATAAGTTTGTTTATTAATTCAAATGAATATTAAAATTATAAGAGAAGCTCATTGTATTCAAGAGATACGATTTAATAAAATTTTAAACATTCAATTAGTATTCATTATTTTCTGGAAGGTTTAACCCATCTATAGTTCAATTATGGTAAACACACATTGCTACCTGGTAGGCGAGTTCCCTATTTGCATTTCAAGCGTAATTAATACTTGTAGATTTGGGCAAATCTCTGGACTGTTTCCGGTGGCAAGGCACTCAAATGGCGGAAACCGGAGCAATAATACTCCATACATACACTGGCAGGCATTATTTAATGCATGTTATTCATCATCTATTTGAATAGATTGCCTCTCGCCCCCTCATCATCATCGCCACGCCCCCATGTCCCACTCCATAAGCCGTAAGCTGCTCCTAATGGCCAAAATGCTCGCAAATGATGATGAATATGTTTCAATTACTCTACTCGAACTCTCCATCATCGGAATCTAGACTGGGAGTAATATTACGGGACGAAGTGGTGGCTAGCCGATATCATTTGATTGCTACTCTACCTGGCCAGGAATTGAATGGAAGGGAGGGAGGTGGACTGTCCGTTCAGTGAACATTTATGAAATATTGGAAATTATTATCTGCAATTATTTTGGCCAAACTCGCCAGTTGCCATAGAAAAACGTTGCAGTCGATTTAATGTTAATAAAACCAAGACATAACCAGATAATCAGGCTTGCCATAAACATGCATAGTACATAAAGAGGTGTACAGTATGCTGTCTAGTTAGTGGACATTAGTAGGTAATATATAATTACAACAAGAAAGGAAGCTAACTTCGGCACGCCGAAGTTTGTATACCCTTGCAGTTGGTTTTCATATTTATATCATAAATTATAATGCCGAAAACAGACACTAAACAGAGTTTCATAACATTTTACCTATACTTATTATGTTTACAGTTTGAAAGTTACAGTTATACATTCCCATTACATTTTCTCTACATCTACGGATCGCTTCTATGGCAGCTATATGATATAGTTGTCCGATTTTCATAATATTGTTACCAAAATTCTGAAATAAGCTCATGTCTTAAAGTAAATGAAAATACGTTGAAAAACAACGAAGTTATAATTTTGTCTATTACTTTCCCTATCGTTCCTATGGCAGCTATAAGATATAGTCGTCCGATTTTCATAAAATTTATACCAAAATTCTAATAAAATACCAGAAGCTCATGTCTCAAATTAGATTTAAAATTTTTTTCTAATATTTTAACTTTTTTTTTTAGATTTTTAAAATTTTTTTAGAATTAAAAAATTTTTTTTAAATATTTTAACTGCCAAATTTGAATTTGAATTTAACTGTCAAATTTGAATTAAACGACGATCAGTTTCAGTGTGCCCAGGTGCAGTTGTAAAATAACACCTAAATTTGGATTCAAAAGGTTTGAGTCTCCGCTTACTTCCGCCGGCTCCGAAATGGTTTGAAACTTGGACTTTTTATAACAGTTTATACCAGTTTTCAGTTGCTTGCTGCTGATTTCTGTTCGCCTGTTACCCCAATTTGGGAAACGGGCAATTTGCATGGAAATGTTCGGAAATTTGGATTGGCTGCTGTAGGGATGTTGTTGTAAAAAGGTTGTTGTTGCCATAAGCTGTTGTTGTCGGCAACAAATAGGTATAAATGCATAAAATGAAATATAACAGTTTATACCAATTATTATTTTTGCCCAAATGTTTTTATAACAGTTTATACCAGTTTTCAGTTGCTTGCTGCTGGTTTCTGTTCGCCTGTTACCCCAGTTTGGAAAGCGGCCAAATCGAATGAAAAAATTTGCTCACTTTGCATCAGTGATGCTCATCTCCATCAGTGATGCTCACTTCCATCAGTGATGATCACTTCCATCAGTGATGCTCACTTCCATCAGTGATGCTCACTTCCATCAGTGATGCTCACTTCCATCAGTGATGCTCACTTCCATCAGTGATGCTCACTTCCATCAGTGATGCTCACTTCCATCAGTGATGCTCACTTCCATCAGTGATGCTCACTTCCATCAGTGATGCTCACTTCCATCAGTGATGCTCATCTGCATCAGTGATGCTCATCTGCATCAGTGATGCTCATCTAGCTATATTGCAATATTGGGAGGCTATAAAATCGGGCTTAATGGCAGAGATGCTCATCTGGCTAAATTGCAATATTGGGAGGCAATATTACAGGCGTAATAGCAGTGATGCCCATCTAGCTATATTTCTTTATTGGGACAAAATAGATAGATGAGCATCACTGATGCAAAGTCAGATTCAGTGTGCCCAGGTGCATTTGAGCAACATTTTAGCCAAAAAATGTACAATATGGTCACATCTGGTTTGAGTCTTCGCTTACTCCAAGATCAATGGTTCGAAACTTGGACTTTTTATAACAGTTTATACCAGTTTTCAGTTGCTTGCTGCTGGTTTCTGTTCGCCTGTTACCCCAATTTGGGAAACGGGCAATTTGCATGGAAAATTTCAGAAATTTGTATGGACTGCTGCAGGGATGTTGTTGTAAAGGGGTTGTTGTTGCCATCAAGCTGTTGTTGCCATCAAGCTGTTGTTGTCGGCAACAAATAGGTATAAATGCATAAAATGAAATATAACAGTTGATACCAATTATTATATTTGCCCAAGAGTTTTTATAACAGTTTATACCAGTTTTCAGTTGCTTGCTGCTGGTTTCTGTTCGCCTGTTACCCCAGTCTGGAAAGCGGCCAAATTGAATGGAAAATTTTGCTCACTTGCATCTGTGATGCTCATTAGCATTATTAAAAAATTAAAGCATACTTTTGGGGTTTTCTATTAAAAACGTGGCATCTTTTAGGCGGAAGTTCAGATTACAGTTTGATAAGCACTGGTCCAAGTGAGATTCAACTTTTACAGTTTGACAAGCACTTTTCGGATAATATAAAATGGCCATATCTAAAAAATGGTGCAAAAATGTTGAAAAACAGCTAAGTTATAATTTTTTTTCTAAAAATTTATCGATCATTTGTATGGGAGCTATATGATATAGTCATCCGATCCGGCCCGTTCCGACATATATAGCAGTGAGAATATATAGAAGACTATATGCAAAGTTTCATTCAGATAGCTTTAAAACTGAGGGACTAGTTTGCGTAGAAACGGACAGACGGACGGACAGACGGACATGGCTAGATCGACTCGGTTGTTGATAAAGAATATATATACTTTATAGGGTCGGAAAGGTCTCCTTCACTGCGTTGCAAACTTCTGACTGAAATTATAATACCCTGCAAGGGTATAAAAATATTAAACAGAAACCCTGGAAATCATGAACTTTACATGGACTCTCTCTGAATACAAATAAGATGAATCACAAGAGGCCTATCTTGATTTCTTCTTGTTGTTTTTAGAGGGAAACCATCTTGTTCTCTGGTTTTGATTGATTCGTCATATCGAACGCAGACTGTGGCTTGGCACATATATAGGAAATTATGCCAAACATGGCCAGTGCACCAGGCAGCGCAGTGGAGCAGCGCCTTTGATTAAATTTCTTTGAGTGTTTGGGGCACACAAAATGCAATTTCATTTGCACTAATGGCTGGCGTCGCAGCCCTCTGCCTCTGTCGCTGCCTCAGTAGGCGTCGCTGTCCCGGCCAGCTGCATTTCCGCTGTCAGCAACAATGCAGCGGCGCAGCCCGGGAAAACGGGGGAAAACTGGGCGAAAAAGTGCCGAGGAGAGCGAAAAAACAACAAAACGGGGGAAAAAAGATTGTTAAATTGAATTAAAACCAACAGCGCAGCGGGGAGGCACAGACGACGTGGGTGTCTGCCAGCGGCGGCCAAGCGGAAGGTATATCATGATGAGAAGAATTGCATGCCGCTGCTTGCTCCAAGAGACCACCTGCTCCTCCTCCGCTTTCGCCTCCTCTGAGTCCGCTTTAATGGTGTTACTGCAACGGTGGCCATTACCAACTTGGGGCCATCTGCACGAGGCTTGTTCAAGCAATAAACGGAATTTGAAGGCTGCCACTGCTGCCGCATTAACCCCCTCCTTCTTGGCAGCCTCTGCCCACAAAAAGATTACAATGTTTGTTGGAAATGGCAACTGGAAACTATTTTTTTCTGGCAGGACCTTAAAAAGCAGCAGCAAATACAGCAGAGTTCAACACTCAATTGTTATAAATTAAGAGCTATTAAAGGGAAATGCATTATTTATATAGAACAAATATGGCAAAAATTATGCTAAATGAGAGCTATTCATTTAAAGTAGATTAAGTGTAATCTATCTGTGTAAATTAAAACACTAAATTAATTGAAAATCTGTATTAACAAGGAACAAGATTTAATCATTACATAAACTAAAAACATACAAAGAAAGGTTCAGTAACTCGTCTCGTCAAACCGCAAAAATTCCACCTTCCGCCTTCCATCAATTGCAAATTAATTAACGAAAATTTGATTAAAACAATTGCATTTGATTTACCCTTAAAAAAGCCAGGCTAATTGCGGATTAATAATTAAATTCTGAACATTTTAATATTGTTCATGCAATTTTAATGACATTCCATGTTATTGTTTGACCTCTATTATTTACACGGCAGTGTGCGCCCAATGAACTGTGGCCAAAAACATACATAAATAAAATTAAATAATTATATTTGGCATTTATTGAATCCATCAATCGCGTTGGCAACCCGTCAGGCCCTCATTTGTTTTGTCATCTGTCGCGTATCAGCATCATCAACTTGTTTGCTTTGACGGTTGAGTGTATTTTCGACTAGGCAACCATCCGATGGAGCTGCGGGGGCTATTCATTCGCCAACAACTAGAGCTCTCTTCACCGTGGAAATTCGGGGCGAATTTCCGCATCAAAGAGTT